GACAGACTGGGGGGGGACTGGGACAGATGGAGAAGTCTGAGGGCATCTGGTGGACAGGTAGAAAATGGCAATGAAGGTTGTGAAACTAATGGATGGAGAGACAGAATGGGAGCTTTCTGTCCTGCATTTCAAAATCCATCACAAGATAATAACTGACTATGTTTATTTCACATTATAATGTCATTGCACATTTGTTTTTTACAGGGTTCACAACAGGGACATGTAGAAGATGTTCACTAAACAGTTCAATACAGCAAATCATGTTGGAACTTGACTCCAGGCCTTTTGCGATAATCAACATATTGACATATCACGCAATATATGAAAATGATCGCGATGACGTTTGGTGCTGTGATATATTACATTCATTTTACATATAAATGAATGTCACCAACATTTGAGTCAATCGCGCTGCCTCTGTCCTCTTGTCCTCATTCTTTGTTGAAAGCGGAGGCGGGGCTCAGGCAGCGCCTCCACACACACACCCGCGCACACACACGCACACAAACACACAGAGCCGACACCGACAGCTGAAGAGAAGGCGTGATGGTAGCGCGTCGCCCTGCCGGCTGCTGAAGCTCCCCGGGAAAACCTTTTTTAAACCCTACCGCACCGCATCAAGACCGATGCTTCACGCATCGGCCCCTTGCTGCGTGTCCCTTGCACTTATTTTTTATTTGTTATGTTAATTTAGGATATCTGTCTAAATATTCTGAAGAATAAATCCTTTGAAAGAGCGTACTTGTATTATTATGCTACTATATAGCCATTATGTAATCAGGGGCATAAAATGGTCTGAAAATTACAATAATATCGTTAATCGCAATTTATTTTGGTGCAATAATCGCACCACAAAAAGTAGTTATCGTGACAGCCCTACTTGAATCATTGAGCTAATGGACAATGCCACCCAAATTCTTTTTAACCAACCTCTGCTACACAACTGAGGAAGAAAACACATGAATAAATAAGAAGCCCATAATTTTTTTTATCTGTAAGAACTCCAGCGTCACGCTGAAAGAGGCGTTATTAGTGCGTGTGAAATCTTTTAGCCCCTGCTTAGTTTAGACTTCAGGGCCCCATTCATACAAAGCAGCTATGAGACTAAGTTTTGCAGTTCGACTTTCATTTAGAGACATTTGCAACAGTAATACGAGCACTGCACCGGGAAAATTGTAATGAAGCCCGATGTAAAGCTCTTAATTTTCTAGATTTTCTGACCTTCACCTGGTGTCGCATGCTTTGGATAGTGACAAATGGCAGAAATTGACTGGATGTGGGGGTCATCAATAAGAGTTGACCTTGTTAGGAGTCACCTCTCCGCGGAGGGGCACAAAGACACTAATTGATGGGGAGAGTCTTGAATAATTCAAGGGGTCCACGGCTGGACAGAATGTGTTTGGATATTAGATATTCAGCATGGTAAAGCCTCTGTTTAGCTGTTTATGGGGGGTCCAACGTTTTCTAGCAGTGGCTCTTGTGACTTATGGCCAAGGCTGCTTCAGTAGAATAGAATCTCTATGGTTGCAAATTAGCCTAAAACAATATAATTGTTCAAATATTATTTCTGCATCCTTACAGCATTGGACCATTAGCAGACCCTTCCTTCAAATATAAAGGGACTAAATACTAGATTGACAACATTTCTAACAGTTCCGGCAACTGCTGAGACGAAAGGTCGCAGCTAACAGTGCTAACGTCGCTAACAGCGCTAAAAGTCCAAAGTGCAGACAGAGCTAACAGTGTCATGCATGGGGGTGAAGCGGAGGGTGCGTGCTTTGTCTCCATGGCAACACCGTCGGTTGGGACGATGTTATCAGATGTGCGGTAAGTATATGGCTTTGATAGAATTCACTAACTGTATATTGCCCTTATAAAGCGTCTGAATTTTGACAGACATTTTGCTTCCTTAGGCCTCTTTGATAGCTTACCCATTTGATCATGCTGAAATAGAATGAGTTGTTTTCCTTCAAGTCATAACAGCGGCTCCACCTATTAAAGTCTCTTATCCGAGCGGGCAATGGCATTTGGACTGATATTTATTCATGTGATCTGCATGAGAGAGTGGTGTCATTCAATAGAGTCTGCCAGAGATGAAAGGATTGTCTCTAAGACTTTTATCTTGTGCTCAGTGTTCAATTGTTATCACTCTGATGAAAACATACAGATGTGAGCAAGCATTCCCCACAACACTCTAAGGAGGGAAGGAGTACATCATATCTTCTGAAAATAACTACAAACATAAAAAGAAAGCAGTGATAGAAATCCATGTGGGAAGAAACATGTTGTGTTGTGAGGAAAGTGTCTTTTGCAATCTCACTACCATTGACAAAAAAGGATGAGGAAGGGATGCATTAATAATTCAAAATGAATGTCCACATATACTAACTGCTATCACTGGTTGAGACCTTGCGATTCAAAATGTGACAAATGCACCGTGAAGTTGTATCTCTCTTCACTGACTTTATTTACTGCCTTGCAGGAGGAGGTCCTTGGAAGGTTGGAAACAGCCTATATCACAGTCTGTGATGAAATAACATTACTAGAGTTATGGTTGTCATGTTTCACTTGATTCCACCAATGTATTTAGGGCTTTGATAGGAAATATTTTGGAGTACATATATAACCAAAGGAATAAATGTATCACTGGGCTTCTCGTGATAGTAAATGCACTTTTTGGACATTGAAGTGCAAGGTATACAACGGCTAAAATTTGGTTATGACAGATATATTGTATTAACATGCATGCTGACAGTTATTCAAAAAGACGATCGCAATCTTTAAAATCATTCAACGTCTAATCAACAAACACCATGATATCACAAAGTATTTTATCGAGATGGAGCAATTAGCAAGATTCCTCTGCAAAGAAATCAATTAAAGATAACAGCAATACTTTGATAGCCAACATGTGAAATATTTATTTTTACATTATTGTATTAATTTTCCCTCTATAAAAGAAAAACAAAAGTTGTATGTCACTGAGTGAGACCACATAGGCGTGTGGATATCATCCGGTGCCGCGATTCCAACCCGCTAATGTTAACAAGACATGAAGAGAACAAGCTGAGAAAGGTCAGGCAGAAGGCGATTGCAGATGGACACTCAATTTCCAGCGTGATACTATGAACAAACAACTCTAAAATAAAGCTTTCGCTCTGTAGTATTTTTAACCATGCTCCTGTGTTTCCATTGGTCATATCTGTGTGCATATACAAACCATTATACCACATGTGTGCGCGCGTTATTGTATTATAAGATCATAGGATGCTGGGAAGAATCTGCGGAATATTATCTGGTTTACCTAGATCTGGCTCTTGTTATTCAGGGCTGCGCCAACACAGATCTTGTTAATCGCTTTGACAAACACAGCATCTCCAGTGTGCTATAAAGCAAAGCAGGATACAGTTGTGGCTCCATCAGTGGGCTCTCATCTGAATGTATCAGCCAGTGTCAACTCAGAGACACAAAATCCATATGCCTTCTGTGTGAAAATGTGCTGGATTGCAAATTGCCAGATATTATTTTGTCGTGCATATGACAGGGAAGTGTTGACCAATCTACGAACAAAGCCAGCTGGCAGGAGGTGAGGAAAAAAAACCTGGCAGACAAGTGTTTCAAAGTAGAGCATACATTACAATGAATGTGTACACCATCACACAACACTAGTGAGTAGAAATCCATTTAAAGCTCTATAAAACAGATTAAAAATCTTAGTTTACAAGCATTAATCCCCCCCCCCCCCCCCCCCCCAACGTACACAATTCCGGACGGATTGGTTTTATGGAGAGACATCTGAGAAGGCACTCAGTTTTTCCCCACTCAAGGCTAAAATTTCAAACATGATCTCGTACATCAGATTGATCGTTTTGTCTGGCTATAGGAGTCAGTTTTCCAATGCAGCATTACTGCCCCCTACTGCTCACATTGAGCAGCCGCATGCAGGCCTGAGGACACAGACTGATCTGTGGCGCTCTGCCATTTTGTATTGTTTTCTGATTGAAAATTGAGAAAGTGAGTGCGCTACGGCTCAATAAATCCTCAGGGGGGGCAGAAAATTGTTCTTGTCTTTTTCAACAAGCCAAAGCGCGGTAAACTTCATCTGAGCTGCCAAGGAGTGAACAACTATAAGGCCGCTGGTCAGTTACAATGTGTGTACGCAGCAACGCAAAGTGTTGCTCCCAGACAGACAGTCTTCTGCAAAGCTATGATCATAAAACAAAAAATTTTTGGACAGTGCGTTTAGGGACTTGACCTTGATTTGACATCCTTCCTCTATAGTCTCTGGCCCGTGCTGAGACAGATCTACATCACAGAAAAAGTACTGTTGTTTTTGAAAAGACTACTATGACATTCTTGTTTGAATGTTTCTAATATGTCTGAAAAACAACCAGATTAACGTAGTAGCGGTTGGTTAGTGACCTTCAACCACCAGCAGGGGGTGAGGACAAATTTAGTGGGGTCACGGAAGTCAAATGTCCAGGGAGAGATTTCCTGTCAGCAGGTTACACTGCGGGAGCTCAAACGCGCAGCCAACTGCATGTAAAAATGCAGGCAAGGAAAGGATCCTGGACAAACCCCATAATCAAATATTTAGCTGCCAAATGGACCAGTAGAGCGGTGTGTGAATTTAATCGAAGTCCTCCATCTTGGCTCATTAGTGGGAATAAAGACATGTTTGTGGAAACATTGAGGAGTTAATTGAGGGCAATGAAGTGAAAGGGATTAACATTTATATGAACTTTCATTATTCTAGTCTCACAACACTTTAAGGTGTTGTACAGGATGTTTAACATGTAAAGTAAATCATGTAGCGCTGACATTATATAATTCTATATTGATTCAATTGTTGTTCAATATGTCAGCTCTAAAGTAAATACTATTTACTTATTTAGTTTTCATTCATAGTTTCGCGCATTGACTCATATGTCAGTTTCGTAACACAACAGTTATATCGCATTGCATTCAAATAATAAGTAAAAGTGCATCTATAAAGAAGACAAAGGCTCATAAAGTGCTTTAATAAATAAATGCAACACCAAATACAACAAATAAAATCCAGCAAGTAAGAACAAAATCAGAGCAAGCACACATCGGTAAAAACATTTAAAACACTGAGCAAAGTTTGCTGACCTGACTCCCCTGTATTTATCTGTATCTATTTACATATGGTCATATTTTTCTCAAATTTGCCCGAAACTGTATGAATACCTTGTAGAGACACACACTTTATTCCATGCGGCGCCTTTGTACCCTCTGGTAGTCGGGAAATCACTACATCCATGATAAGCAATTCACACAAACACTTGCATCACAGTAATAAAGACCAGCTTTATTTTGTCGTCTTGCAATGGCTCGATACATTTAGGGCGCTTCCAAAAAACTGGATACAAGTGGTCACTCTGCCACTCTGTGAGGGCTGTAAAACGTTGGAATACAAACACAGCATCACACATTGTTGTAAAAATAATTTGAGCAGAGTGTGTTTTCCCTTCTCCGTAGAATAGATTGTTTCAACATGTTTTGTTGAATGTGATTTCAGTGATACGTTTTTTTTTTCTAACAGCACTTTTAGTGGAGTAAGCTGACAACTATTTCTGCTTTTGACTTTTTTAGGAAACACAAACACGTTAGAATGAATTGACTGATTAGATATATCCTAATGAAAAGAGCTGTATTTTTCCTTCCCAATGTTGCTAGAAATTGCCTGAGGTAATGAAAACAACATCCACTTGAGAAGCATTTTAATATTAAACAGAACAGTCGGTAGATGAAACTGACATGTTGAGTGACACAAGAGGTACAAGCCATCCAGTTACTTGAAAAGCTTTGGATATTTTTTTGTTGTTGTTGTTGTTGTTGCTGTTGTTGAGGGGGGATTGGCACAAATCGCAGAAATTCCGGTTACGAAATTATTTGCGTGACAGATAAACAAATATAATAAGCAACTCTCTCAAACTAGTGTTAAAATTGAGCAATTTTTATCTTCCATTTGTCTGCACTTTCAACACCACAAATGTCCCCCTTCTCATAGAGATGAATAATTAGCTCTGTTATAACCACCGCTTAGATCGTAGGTGGCCTGAGGTGCGGAGCAGTCCGTGAAGTAGTTGGGGAAGGCCAAAGTGCACAGCGCGTTGTCCTCTACGGACACAGAAGCGGCCTCAGACGGACAGTAGACGGGAGGCTGGCTCGCACCTACTTTCTTACAGGGTCCAGAGTAGCTAGTCCAGGGCTCCGAGTACAGGAGGCCGCCAACCAAATGCTGAGCCTCGTAGGAAGTGGGATCCGGGCCTCCCATCTCCGGCTGTACCCGGACACTTTGATAAAGGTCCTGTTCGCTGACCATGTTGCTGTAGTCGGGCCCCAGGAGCTCAAAGAACTCGGCGGCCTCGGGGTTGCCTCGCTCCAAGTCCTTCAGCGTCATCCCGGACGTGGAGCTGACTTTGGAGCAGTTGGCCGGCTCGGTGAAGAAAGAGGGGGGTAGATTGCGGTGCCTCAGGGGGGGCTTCCTGGTTCTTTCGCCCCTTATGTCCTTCACAGGACTGAAGAGGGCTGCCAAGCTCTTGCTCTGCAAGCTGGCCTGGACCCCGTCGCGTTTGGGTGGGGTTTTGCTCTGCGAGGGCTGAGCCGCAGGGGAACCCTGCCTCTTGACCGGGGCCTCTGCCGTGTTTGCTGGCGTTATGATGCCCGTGCACCTTTTGATCTGCTTTTGCAGGTACTTCCGGTGGTTGACCTTCCTCTTGGATTTCACCGGCTTGTCCAGAGCCAGCTTGATGTTGCTGGAGGCCGAGTCTATGAAGCTCAGCAGGTCGCTGGTGGTCTCTCTGTAGTCCTCTTCGGTTTCCGCCTCACCCAGGAGGCTCCCGTCCAGACTCTTCTCCACGTCGTACTCCATCACAGAGCCAGGGAAGCAGAAATTCATGAACTGAGGGTTCATGATTGCTGTCTGAACAGCCATTACTCTGCGGAGCCCAGCGGCTACACCTGTGGCATCCGCTGTGCTGCCTGAGACAAAAGTTTCTTCAGAGCATGTCTTGTTCTTACCCCTGACAAACCCTCGGTCCTGATGCTGCTCATGAAGTTCCTGTAAACATTCCAGTTTGGGAGTGAAGGGCTGGGAGGGAAGCAGGGAGATCTTTCAGGGGGCCGGACCAGTGATGTCAGAACATCAAAGAGGAGGGGCAAAGAGAGTGCAGGACTTAACTCTTTGCTTGTGTCTGACCACCTGCATCTAAGAGGGATTTGTCTGAAATTCCCTGCAGAGTTGAAGACAATAGCTGCCGTCACAACTCTCCCCCTCTAGTTTAACTGTTTGTGTGTGCGCCGAAACAAAAAGGCTTGCATGAAGCCGGAGGATATTACTGTAACCGTGAAGAGAAAAGAATAGTAGTTGTTGTGCCAAAACCTTAAGCTTTTAAGTGTAGTATTATTATTAAGGATACCACATTTGGGATACCAACATGTTAGGCGGGTTAAGGTCAAATGTCCCATATAAAATACAGCCAATGAGTGTCATTATTCATAATATTGACACATTTTGAAACTTTTTAACCACTATTCAACCATCAAACCTACTTGTGTGTTTCCTTAGTGAATTATCAAGTAGAAGTTAAGCAATGAATCTAATCAATGTTCATGTAGGCCACTGACACAAACCCAAATATCAAATTGAGGCTAAACATTAGTGAGAAAGGCTTCTTTTCAGTGGGAAAATCTCTGTGCCCAAACAGATGCCACTATTTGGGAGAATCTCCCCCAACTGCTCGCCTGTGTCTTAATCTGCTCATGGCAAAAGTTGATTTCTAGTGCATTCCCAGGCCAGTGGGAATTTCTGCCCTGGCCTGACAACTATTATGGGCTGCCTTTGACATAAAGCCCTACAGGGTCTAAATAGCCTCTATTCTTCGCCCGGCACTGAAAGGGAGCTTTGTGCCAGAGATTCATTAAATTGCACCTCACAGCCCCTTCGTAAAATGGGTCTCAATAATGAACAGTCGATTTAACTAGAAAAGCGGCCTGAGCTGTTAATTTAAAAAGGGGAATAAAGTGCAGTTCAGGCTCAGGGGGGGCAGACGAAATGTTGACCCTAAGGTATCGCGTGTATTAAACTTGTGTAGTAAAGCATAACTTGTAAAACTTTACTTGTTCACAGGAAGTTTCTGGGCCGGCCGTGAATGCAACGGAGGATGTGTCCAAGAGCCAGATTGTTATGTTGCCAGCACTCATCCCAATTTGAGTGGAATTCCAGCAGAATTCTGAGTGTATGGATGGTCGGGCACAGTTTAACTTCACAAAAAATGTCTAATTGGCCACCGCATTTGAGTAGCCAGAAAGTTTCAATCTGATCACATTAAAGGCTTCGTGTATTATTCACATTTCAAGTTAATTATTAGCTGAATTATTGAAAGACGATCCCTCCTCTTACCAAAGTGCATGCTGAGGTGAGGCAGGGACTCGTTATAGAGTTGGAGGGATGAAAGGAAAAGTCTTAAGCAGCGAGGGAGTGAGGCCGTTAAAAAAAAAAATCTTTCTTATGTTAATTCCCGGGGAGGAAAGGAGACGGTGAAAGTGATAGCACTGATCTAATTATCCGTGGCAGTATGCAGCTGAAAAGAAATGCAGAAAAACTCAAATCTACGAGCAACAACTGGTTACAAAACAAATAATGTCCGTCTGTTTGTACAGCTGGCCATGAAAGACCTGATTAAAAAATAAATAGCCTTGGCATACTCATCTGGCATTATATTACAAGCTTTCATTTGTAAATTCAACACTTTTAGTTGATCGCAGGGATGCCACACCACAACGTCTCATGAATTCAGAGGAGAAGAACTGAGCTTTTAACGCCTGGATAAAGTGAGTCTGCCTCCCTTTCCTAGTTTTGGCAAAGTGACATCATCACAGTCGTGGCAGCGATCCCACCCCCACGCCCCCCCCCCTTTTTTCCCCTCTAGTCGAGGGGCTTTGGCTTTTGTGCCAGTGGGTCATTCACATCAGAGTCTGACGCACAGATCCCGGAAACAAGTTTCTATTGTGGCGTGAAGGCTGCGAGGGCGAGAGGGGTTGAGGCCGAGGCTCAAGGGTTAGGAAAAAGAATATATAAACAGAGAGCTTTTGACTTGTTTCCATTCTCCAGACATTAAGTGAGAAGTGAATAGTTGTTTTTTTATTCAGAATACGGGCGGTTTTAGAGTTAATCACAGAGGTCAAATTACTTCTTTTTTTTTTTTACATTGTCCAAACAAAACATATTTTATTATTAAGTTTAAGTTTTTTAATTCAGAAAAAAAAAATAGTTTTCTGCTGCGCAGTTTCCCCTACAAGATTTCGTCAAACCCGAGAATTTATGGATTCAGCCGCACCCTCATAGTCCTCGGGAGCGAGATGCTCGGCTCAACGTGATGTGACACGCACAGGCCTAATCTCTTCCTACTAGTGTGTGGTCCCCGTCTGAGCAGGGACATGCTCTGGGTTTTGGGGTCGGGAGAATACTAATAACACCTTTGATTGATGACCAGTGTCACAGACTGAGAAAGGGCCGGCAAAATTAATGACCTCTCAAAGTCCTGAGAAAAAGTTTATGAACGGCATTTAGCGGCGGAGACCCCGTCCTCCCCCACGTTTAGCTATGTGTCCGAAATCCAGTGAGGCCTGTGACAAAATGTCCAGGCTTTGTGTCGCCGCAGTAGAAAATCAACCCACATACCAGTGCAGGACATGCCCCCACCCCCCCACCTGCCTCACAACGTCCCGTCATGTCAGGAACTTCTGCTTTCAAAGAGGGCGGCGAGAAAAAGAAGTGACCCAGAATAGTTTAAAGGGAATTAAAAAGCAACAAGACAAGCTTTCATTAGCAGTCCACACGCTTTAGTCTCAGTAGTTTCACGACACTTGATTCTTTTTTTTTTTTTTTTTTAAATAGAAAAAAAAAAGAAAAAGCAGCTTCTTGGTGAACTTCAAAAGACTTTTTGGTCCCGGCCGATTCCTGATTTACTTTTAACCTTCCACCAACCCTCCTCAACCTCTCTGGCACCCCAGGAGTTGTATTAATAATATTACTAGCAGGGGGTGAACAAACCCAGGTCCATGAGATGCCTTGGTGCAGCAATTTAGAGCTTTAATGGCAAGCCAGTGAATGAATGTGTGCCGGGGGGAATCCCACAGGTTGGTCCACAGGGGAGAGGTCAGCAGGCGGAGATGCAATAATCTCCCACCACTGACTTTATTGCCCTCCTCCGATTGGCTTTTTATTAAATCACAGCCCCATGCTATTGTTCCTGCTGCTAGGTGGAAGTAACTAAAACGGCAGAGTCTCTCTAAAACATGACAAAGAGTTGGCTCCAAAGAGTAACGCAACATCCTCATATGATCCCCAGACAATGATGACAATTTCATCGGTAGCTTTTTAATCCGTTTTAGCGGCAGACAACACATTAAGCACAGGTGGTATAAAACAAATAGAAAACTTAAGAGCGAGGAATGCACTGTGAGCTGGAACAAATGAAGTTTAATATTACATTGTGCAGAGGGTATTAAAAAAAAAAAGTCTTCTGTAAGAGTCACAAAACAACAGCAAATAAAACACTTACTTACTGTAGAAGAACTACACCAGCAATGGCTAATCAACAAGAAAAATAGAAATGAACTGTAAGGTGGTATTAACTAAACATATCCCTGATTGTACCGCAGAATAACAACAATAATACACAAGCTTGGAGGCAGAAAGGCCTTAATGAGCTTTTGGCAAATGCTGTGATGCAGATACAGACTAAACTGAGGACACGATCCAGTCGTTTGATGAAAATAATGTGAATAAATGTAAGAAAAAAAAAGAAGAAAAAAAATGACAGTTACTAGTGAATCTCATTTATTTCTCCTAATGGAAAGCCTCTCGAAGCAATTTGAAAAGTATAGTTTGGCATTAAAATAAATGGAGCGCATCTCATTAGGTCTAATACACTTAAGATATAAAAAAATTGCCATGTAATCAATGATGTTGCTATTAAGATCAGGAGTTCAGTTCAATTTTTGCAAAAAGTCGTGATTCAATGTAGACAAAATGTTTTACCACAACACTCATTTTGGAAAAAGGCTCAAACTTTGGCATAACGATGCAGAGAGCTGTCACATAGATTAAAGCTCCACATAAAGCACATAGTTCCTGTGACATTGTGCTGGCCTTCAGGTACTATCAGGTCTGAGGGGGTCTTTTAGCCTGCTTGATCCACTTTCGAAAGTACATCACCTCTAACGCCCGGGCTGCGCGGACTGAAGGTGGGTCGTAGTCATTCCTGTAGCGGAGGTCCAGGTGATGTGCTCCGTCAGGGATGACAATGGAAACCAGGGAATCTGTGATGTTGGAGGTCACTCCACCGGACGACCACGGGTCGAGTCCTCCGTTACTGAAATAACAAAACAGCAGAGGCCTTGGTCAAAGACTTGTGTGCCACATGTATGGGGGGGGGGTCATTTAGAGTATTTACATAAAGCAGCATTGGGGAACAACTGCTTGTAAAAAGTACACAGTACTTACAAGATGTAAGAAACCAACCCTGCTTCAAACATGGGTCCACGTGTGTTGTGTGTCGGTATCCGACAACCCCCTTTTAATACTCGGGATATGTTTTGACAATTTGTTTAAGTTGCTTTCAAAAGTGAGTGGCAGACCTGACAAAAGCAGCTACACGTATTCACCCGCATGAAACCCAGCTTAGTATTTATGACTCAGCCACATTTTCACCTCCTGCCGCTACGCTTTTATTAGCCCACCATAGAAGCCAGTCCAAATCAGCACTTTAAATGCCTCTCAAGGAACCAAGAACCGCTCCACTCGCCGCGGTTACCTGAAGATGATGTTGCTGTGCGAGGCGATGTCCTTCCCGCCGTAGACCGCGCCGGCCCAGTCCGCCCGCGGCCTGACACCAAACATGGCGCTGCACTCGTCGGCGAAGGCCTTGAAGTTCCACTCCTCGGGTTCGAACATGTCCTGCACGCCGTCTGTGCACATGGGCATCACCATCTCCGTGCAGGCCTGGGGAAGAGGGGATCGAACACGCGTTCACCGTGACAGGTCAAGCTGCCCGCTGACACGGGGCTGTGCTGCGATTTTTTTTTTTTGCGACAAGCCTGGCTGCCCGCCCCCCCGCCCTCCTGCCCCTCCCTGCACGCCCACCCCGCCGCACCTGGTAAAACCAGCCGAGGAGGCCGAGGCTGCCGGTTGCCGTCTGAGATGTGTTGAGGCAAGAGGAGGTTCCGGTGAAGTTGTAGTAGACCTTTGCTGCTTGGGAGACGCCGTGCAGCAGCTGGTAGTCGGACACGCCGGGATCGTAAGCCAGATGTTTGCACACCACCTTGAAGAAAGCAAAACCACGAACAGGCAAAACATAATAACAGAATAAGTCGGTGATTGCTTTACAGCGGAGGCGTTGACAGCTTCCTGCACCTACACAAAATCACCTTGTATCCAAGTTGTTTACAACACTGCAGCGTTCTTGGGGCTCAAAGTGTTTTTCCACATAAAAAGTGGTGGCGCCTAATTTGCATGTGAAATTCCCTGGAATGAACTTGGATTTATCGCTGTAATCTCGGCACCAGGAGGCAACAGCGAACATTTTCTTATAGCCAATGATCTAAATGTTGCTCCACTCAATACTATTTTGTTTGACCACGGTTGATTACCTTAGAATTAACAGCGTGGATGATAAATATTTGAGTTTCACCCTCTGTTTAATTTCCCCGTGTGTTGTTATGGTTGCAGCAGCAGAGTTGGCTGCTGCTGTTGTTCTGCACTCTTTGTGAGGCAGACAAACTGGGCTTTCTTGTCCTGAGGTTGGAGGGGAGCTGCGCTAGTGTGGAGTTTGTTACCAAGGCTTTTGTCTTCGGGGTTGGGGAGGAGTTGGTGGTCGATGGATGAGGAGGGCCACAGACATGTCCAACCAAAGATTTATACCAGGAAAAAAAAAAAAGAAGAAGAAAAACACTGCAATTGCTCCAAAGCATCTTCTCCTTACTTTTCAGATAGGATTAGGCTTATACATTCATCTCTGCCAACAGATTTCCCCTCCTCTAAGCCCTCAATACCCCGTTCTCACACTCACTCAGATAATCACATTAGCTTTGTCATTAAAAAAAGCTCCTCTTTGCACCCACTGCCTAAACCGCTTAAACCACCCATAGGGGTCGCATACATTAAAGGCAAGTAGCCAAAAAAAAAAAAAAAAACTCATAATGACCCTCTAGTGTTTGTTTCCAGTGACGCTGCTGAATCTCTCCAGAGCATAACTGATAAATAAGCAGAGCGAGAGGAATGCACCGCGCTGGTAAAGGCTTTGGTGCATGTCCGCTGTGCGGGGCGCTCGTGGGGTGTCCCAGAGAGGCCGGACAACAGCAGAGCTTGGTTTGAGCACGTGACACGTCAAGGTGACTGGTGGAATGCACTGCATCCAAGTCAATCAGCCGCAGCCACTATACTGTGACAAGCTCTCACATGAAAAAAAAAAGACATTTTGTAATGACGGGGGTTTATCAATCTTGGCAAGTTATACCATTATTTTTTCACCTCAAGTGTCTAGTGAAGTCCACTTTCTCTGTGGTGTCATGTCCCAAGAGGAAAGAAAGACCCAATGGTACGAGAGGAAGCTTCTCATCTAAAGAATACTTCAAATCTAAAAAGAAACGAGATCCTCGTGAATATTAATGAAAGCGAATTGACAGCCGTTGTCTACAAAAACTTGAACAACAGTTTAAAATTATTTGGATCAGTTTTTCCTCCAAAAATGTGCTTCTAAATCTTAATTTAAGAGGGGATCTTTCTACCGTGATCGGCCAGCGAGGGAGTGGCTGCAGGAAGTTGGCTTCGTAGGGGTAGTCCACCATTGCCAGGTTCACCCAAGTCTCCTGAAGCCAGTTCTTGAAGCCGACAGCATCGCTCTTGTTTTTTAGAGGGATGCATAGACTGAATTCTTGGGACAGCCACTGCAGACCAGACACTTGTCCAAAGAGAGGAAAAAATGAGATGTCACTATTGTTACTTCGACTGCTGGGTACTAGACTTTGTTGAAATTGTTGTTTTAAACAATAGTTCTATAGCTCACATGGGTCCGGTATGAAATAAGTTGCATGCAAAAGAACCATTATCTTCTTGTCTTTTAAGTGTTCAATGTTATGAAGCAAATAATCATTTCATTTATGCACAGAAAACATCGGTATGATGGTTCATCTTTCAGAGAAGTACGGGGACAAACCTGTGGTATTTCACACTTTGGTGCAGACTGTAACCAATTGAAACTTCTCTACGATGACCAACACGAATACTTGAAAAACGCAAACAGTCCTTTAAGAGTCAGTAGGGTTTTTGTCCTTTCTTGGCTGCTGCATAAAACATGGCGCCCGGCTCTATTAAGACTACCTGCTCCACATGTAGATACACACGGTCAAAAGTTCTTACCATCGGGTCTGGCTCTCAAAAACTTAAGATAATGAATCCCGATCATTAAATTACTGTTCCTTTAAATGGATCAAACCTTCTGATTTTTATGTATCTTTAACAAAAAAGTATTAATCCTTATACTTTAACCATCACAGTTAAATCAAACCGTGAATTGCTACTCACATTAAATTATCCGATTAATTGTCTAAACAACACATCTTCTTTCTTATTATCTTTTTCAGATGGGACAGATGCTACAGAGAAGCTTCCAACGGCTGGATGATGTATACCAGCTGTTGCAAGCATCTCGGTCAGAGATATAAAAAAGTACCACCACCCAGATGTTAATCGTATTGTTTAGTAATATGACAAACAGCAGGCTTTTCTACTCTAATGGGATGGTACTCAGTTTAAGACTGCTGCGAAATCTCAATTTCTCTTTTTGCCATTCCTTTTAAAACTTCCTTTTAAAATCCTTTTTTTTTTATTGATATAACCATCAGAATAAAGATTGGTACCTCTATAAATTTATAAGCCGTGGTTAATGGCTTTACTGGTCTGTTCTTCTTTCACTGATGCTCAATAGAACAGTCATAAGCTATTAAGAAGAACACCTTTTGGGTTGCCAGGTAGTGGCCTCATCCCGCAATCAACATCAGATATTTAGTTAATTAAATTAATCTTTTAAATTAATTTAGAGGAGGATTTTCTCTGACCTGGCAAGAAGGCGGCGATTGCTATTAAAAGCATACACCTGTTCAATAAATCATGAGTAAATGTTTTAATAACAATAAACCAAGCCATTATTTACAGCTTATTAAGCCTTTATTAAAAGAGGCGCCTCATTAGAAAGAGGTTCTGACCCTTTCATTCCCAACTTTCACCACTAAGGTGTGATCTGAATAACAAGTACCACACAATGTAATAAAGCTTACTCCTACAGTTTAGGATTGTGGAATTGGAAAATGTACCAGAGGGATCCTGTAGGAAAACTCTTATTCTGATCTGATCTGAATACTAAAGGACTGAGGCGTCTGAGTTATGCAGGCTGTAAATCTTATGGATCCACACATAACAATCTGTGCTCTGTGCCGCCGAGAGGCTCCAGACTTTATAACCACTTTATATAACAAGTTTTAGTAAGAGCTGTCTGGTTTCAGGCTTTAGCAGACAATGAATTGAACCCACAAATGTAGACAATGTGGAAAAAACGTGCAGGAACTCTTAATATCCAGGAGGCTTTTTCACATATATACGATAAAATGTGGTTCATTTATCATTCTGCATAATTCAAATGGACCTTATTCCCGCCAATATGACAGGAAGGATAAATCAGCCCACCTTGACTGTACAACTTACCAGTGGAAGAGACATTGTTTATGGCCTTCCAAGACTTTCGGATGTTTGCATCGCAGTTGTACCCACTCCTGGCGTAGTCCTGTGTGACTATTTTATAAAAGTCTCCACACGGCACAATACCGGTGAACTGCCAAATTGGTGCAGAAGCTGCCAAAGCTCTGAAATACAATAAGCAGAAGAAATTCACTAGGTATTACACTCCACTAGTTCATCTTTAAATAATATGTGTAACAAATATTCCCCTTAAATCTGTTGTGGAATCCAGCCTCAAGGTTCCCCCACATCCGCACCAATATCTCACCCAATAACTATATTGGGGTATTTCATCCTGAACCAGGCGGCGAGCATCCCGCCGTAAGAACCTCCGACAGCGATGACGGGACTGTGCTGAGCTCCCGGTAAAGTGCTCTTCAAGTTCTGAATCAGCACTGCAAAATCTGCCAGGGCTTGCTCCGAGGTCAGGTAGTTCAGGTGCTTGCTGTCCTAAAAGCGTGTGACAAGTATAATAACAAATTAATACATTCAGAAAAAAAGAGAAACGGCACTGACATTGAAACACGCACAAGTGTTTTTTTCTTTTTTCTTGTTGCTCATTTCTTACGGGCCGAGAAAAGATGAGAAAACACTTTTCAGGCCTTAATCAGATTTGAATCCGACTGCATCTTCACTCACGCTGTAAGAGTCTTGTCCAAATGGCAGAGACTCTCCATAGTAACGATGTTCTGCGAAAACCAGCATGGCGCCCAGCTCCTCCGCAGTTTCCCACATGAAGCCCTGACACAGAGATGGAAACTGAAGCAGCAGCGGGGATTATGTGCAGCGTCAGTGCAAGGCCACAGGTGGGATGCTCACAGTGTTGTTGCAGAACCAGGTGATGTCGCCCTCGTTGCCAGTGTAGAACAAAACGGGTCCCCCGGGCTGCTGCCAGTGTTTGTGGGCCACAAGGTACCTCTGTTTGAAGGTGCCATCCTCGAGGAAACCGAAATGATCAATCTGTGAGAGATAAAACAGGTGAAACCAGTGCATCATCTTAAACGTATTCGCCGCAAGCTGATCAACGACATCATCGCTATCACAGCAGCTAAACTGTGCAGCTTGATTACTTAAAAAATAAAAATAAAAACTGACGGTCAAAATCTGAATGTCTCTTGTGGTTCGGCCAGACAGAAAACCCAATGTGGCGATAATTCACTGATGTGAAAATCAACACACAGCGGTTTACAGGTCGCAGTCCATCGGGCGCCAACTACTCGGTGTCGGATCGGGGGCCAACGTGGGAAATGACAGTCCCGAAGTTGGGATTTTGGAGTAATTAGCCCCAATTTGTATTAAGATATGTTTGGAGCCAGTCGAAGGGATGCCGCATTAGTTCCCCTTTAGATGAGCTCCGAGGTGTCCTTTCATCCAAAACTCGGGGATTCCGGGGCGTCTTCCCCTTTCAGCGATTTTCCCCGTATTCTTCAAGAAACAAAGGCCGAGAGAAACCAACAACTTCACAGAGCCGACGGCCCCTGCGAGGCGGTCGGGTTGTCTAACCCCTTGAAACAGCACCAACGCTTAACACAAAATGTTTTTGTTTTGTTTTACTCCCCCCCACAGTCCCCTCCTCGCTCACTTCCCTCCTCAGTGGACACAAAGGAGGCAGCAATTTTATGAGCCAGTGACACCAAAAAGATTCTGGGGCCTCAATGTGCTCATTCAAGCCTTGACTCCTCGGGGCTTGGCAAATGCTTTTAAGTGTGAGGGGACCATGAGACAGTTAAAAAGGAAAGGTTTGGCAGTTTGGGAGCTAAATAAGTCTCAGTAGTGTTGGTCATCCAAAGAGTAATGTGAGAATTGTCTTAACATTTAAGCGGTTTTGATTTTCTCATAGCGGGATCGTTAATATGGTAGATGTCTGATCTCAAGAGTGAAACGCTTCAATTATTGAAAGACAAATTCTGTTGCAGCACGAACACAAATCTTCCTTTGAACTATGATGTAAATACCAAACTAAAGTGGTTGAATAAATTAAGCCCCCCCCCACCACCACCACCACCCTTCCGGTGAGTACATTTGTACCCACTCAGTATGCACATCACAAAAAACACAGTCCACAGTTTCGAAGAAGTCGGCGGCCTGATGAGTGGTGCCACCATGTGGTCACTGCAGGCAGCGTTTACTGGACATCTATTAGACCAGAGCTTTTCTACGGGATAATAAGAGTCGAGTTACAGTCTCAGAAATGTTAACAGGGAGGTGAGGGGGGGGGGGGGGGGTGGACAAGCAAAGCACGGGCTCCAGTGGACGATCGCAGGTAATTGGGAGGATGCTAATGGACACTTCCATTCATTGTCCAGAGGGCAAAACGCAGACGGGAGGATTTCCTCTTCTGGATCGCTCAGTGAGCGTCTCACTGCAGCTCGTCCCACACAGAGCGTAGACAAAATAAAGGAAACGCCATCGATGATTCTTTTGTAACAAGAAAATAAATAAAAACAGCCGGCTTGGTACTGCTACTGAAAAGTGGATGGCAGGGATTTTATTCAATTTACTTGTTGCGAAGAAGCATGTCAGCTGTTGTTGATTGGCCAAAGAAGAGCATATGAGAAAAGACAATGGACAACAGAAGGGAGGAAATGGTTTTTATCATCTTGTCGGCGTGGCTGATTGTGCAGGATGTCGTGGGCTGGACCAGGTGTGGAGCATTGTCTCCTAATCCAAATACGGTCTTGTGAATGCACGCTATCAGTAGCTTGTTAATATTACACTTCAGACTGCAGCGAACAGCTATTTTCCTTTTTGATGAATCACACTTCTTATTTGTTGACTAAGGAAATGAGAGTTTCCCAGAGCACAAGGTACATCAACCATCAAAGTGACTTAAATAATTCCTTAATTATCAAAACATCAGTAATGCAATATGAGCAAATCACTGTAGCTCCAAAAATCCAAGTATTCTCTGCTTTTGTAACACACACCTAATAACTTGTGTAATATTCTAATGTGTTTATTAACCTCTAAACGTTGGTTTGAACTGCTTCAGGGGTTTATTGTGTAAACTTCCTCATTAGGTTCAGCTTGTACAGCTATGGATGTTGGGAAAAGAGCTTGAAAAGCTCTCAAACATCCATCTTAGCAGAGAAACAGGCTTAAATGTCCAACAAAGTGAAGTCCAAGAGGCAAACACAGACAGATCCCCGACTGTGTTTGAATGAGAGTTGAGTTTAACTTCTAAGGCATCGCTGACCGCAGGAACCAGAGAGTCTGTGCGCCCGAGTCACTGTGAACGACCTGCTGCGCTACGTACCAGAGTCAAACCAACATGCAATATGTACCTCCATCAAGTAATAGCAAATGGAAAATCTAAAAGATTAGGATGAAAATGCCTTAACCCTCCCCCCCCCCCACACACACACACACACACACACACACACAATTAGGTAAAGTGTTCACAGGGCCCCAGAGACCTGTTTAGGAAGGAAGCCAGGAGGGATAGTTGCCGCTCTGCTGGCAGGAACAGAACCAACTCTGATGGGTTTCCCTTCACTACCGGAAGCCCGAGGGAAACACCTATTGTCTGCAGACTTCACTCATGAACAGTCTCTGCAGAGGCAGTGCATTGCCATTTTAGAAAGAGCAAGTGATGCAGATATCCGTCAACAACCAACGACGCTCTAAAGGGCTTTTGGTTTTGTAAAAGATAATTTGGACATACAACACCAGTCTGAATGCAGTCATTGGAATCATTTTTGTTCGGGGCCAAATACAGGCATCCTATTTACTCAATTTAGTGATGTTTTTTCTGCCACAGTAAATTCAGCCATTATATGGCGCAGACCAAAACATGTAAGTGTGAAGTGAAGTGAAACAAAGAAGTAAATGAGGAAGTAGCAAAACAGAATAAAAGACCAACACAAAACAAATGAATCAAAAGAAACCATAAGGGTGAATGTCACACTCACCTTCTGATCAAAATAAAACGTCTCATAGCTGACGGGGGCCTCAGCGGAGTCAGATGACCCGCCGAGCCCCGTCAGCAGTTGTGATTTGAGGGCGATCACGTGCAGACAGCCGAGGCACAGCGCCAGGGCGCCGGTCACCGCGGCTCCGTCCAATCCGCGCTGCAGGACTCCGGCCCGCATCGCTGCTGCGGTCCGACGCGGCTCACAGCGGGACCGATCCACGGCACATCGCCACGAGGCCGCGGGGTCGCGCTTCTTAAGAGGAGGAGAAGTGTCCCGCGGCAGAGAGGAAGTGAGACTCGCCTGTCAGCGTGTTCAGACAGCTCGTGACCTATATTTAGCAACGCCGGCAGGGAGGAGGAGGAGGGAGGAGGGTAGAGGAGGAGGGAGGCACGGGAGCAGGAGGCTTTCAGGCTCAAACTTTTCTCCAACATTTTGAACAACTTTCATGTGGCTGTAGCCGGCTAGCATTCAGCTAGCAGGGCGAGCAGAACGCAGACGGCTCCCACTGTAAATCTCGCAGGGGTTGATGGGAGTTTGCGGTTGATGCACGCTGGTTCATTTAATAGCAATAAGCATTTATATTGTGCTTAACAGCATGATGGGTAATTGACGCAGCGCAATCACGCTGTCTTGTTGCCATTGGCTTTCAGAATACAATCCCTTGTGTATCAGCTTTTTATTTTGAAAGAATATTCCGGAACAAGTGAAGTGAGCAATTAAGCTACTCGTTTTTTTTTTGCTTACTTAAACTGATTTAACATGAATTTTGCAGATATAGATAATTAGTATAAAACCTTTGTTTGGTAAAACACGTGTGAATCTAAAATCCCAAGCGTTTACTGCAACATTAAATGGATCAAGTTGCCGGAAATGCAGTCGCGCTAACAAACCAACGCCTCTGGGAAATGTAGTGGTGCATGACGTGCTGCTCTTTATTTTGTTTTATAACAAATGTGTTGATGCTAGGACAGGTTGATCTGTGATTTTAAAATCAAGAGTGTTTGCTGGCTTTTAGTGGTGACAGCAAGCTGCAATTGTTTTAGGAAAAGAAGCACAACATCCCAATAGTGTTTTCCTTTGTATTTCCCGTATGTGTTGACAAGAAGATGAAATGGATTAACAATACGTCACTGCTGTTAAGTCTAAGGTAAAAGGCAAAACAAACCGCTCGCCGGTTTTACAAAGGGATTACTGAAAAATAAAACGTATAAAAGCAAAGTGCGAAGAAGTACTACAAGTCTGTACAAGAAAATATTACAACAAAAATTATAAGTGTGCAGTATATGGCATTGTGCAATACAGTACATTACAGGTATGGCAATTATAGGAAAGATCAAGTTAGACACTACAAATTATGGAGAAAAAAAACATGCTGGACAATCAAAAGATTTACAATAAAAGCATATGAAGTACAACGTCATATACAATACACGAACATACCCCTTCACACAAATAAGAAGCGATACAATTCCATGGTTGGGCAGCAACCACAAAAGCCAGACATATTAATGTCTATGGATAAAAATAACAGCTGACAGTCCAATAAAAAAGGCAATTGATTAAACTGTTAATAATTTCTGATGACTGACAATATCTCAGGCTTTCCCAACTTCTTTACTCTACGTCAACCAACTAATCGCAAACACTGCCAGTATGCAAATAATAACAATAAGGGTGTCACCGAATACTGTTTCAATGTAGTATTTATGTGTATTTCAACACATATAATTGATGTTATCCGACACTATAGAACATATTCTAGCAGCAAGTACAAATTTTCTACTGGGAAAAAATACTTCACAGTTTGTAATGATGGATGCAGATAACTACGCAGAAATGAGATTACGAAAGCTAGCAAGTTGAATGCAAGGCTCAGAGCAGAAGACCTAGTGGGAATAACTGATTGTGCAACAGGTTTTCGGGTACGTTTACGCGACTCAATCAGACTTGGTATTCTACAAAAAATGTACTGTATGTAAACATTAAGTTACCATTTACTGATAACCTCAGATGACCATGACACTCGCTGTCAGCTGTGCAGAATCTTTAACAGAATACCTGCTTGAACTTTTTACTTGCGTAATACTGACTGCTGGTGAATACTGATGTTTAATGAAAATGGATCCAAACAAAAACATTTTGCCATTTCACTAAGAAGAGGACAAAATGGAGCCCTACTCAAGATTCCTGGATGCATCACGCAGACATATTCTGCATCCCGTTGCATTGGCGACATCTAAAATGCTTGTCCCTTGAAGGCCAAACTAAAGTTGACTAACTCCCTTGTGCAGCTTTAAAAAGAAGCACGGGACTAGAAATGACGGGGACTAAAAAGTGGCTTCACGCCATCTTAGAGGGACGGAGGCATTGACAATCTGCCCTCTACAGTCTATGGCTACTGAGTCAAGATGGCCAGAAGTCTGAGCTCTCCCTAATTGACGTTGCAGCAGCTCAAGTAACTGATGGTTTTACCCTCGCCGGGCATCGGGGCAGTGTCGTTGTTATCCAGCTTGTTCTGCTTGGCCTCGCGAATGAGTTCGCAGGCCAGGTCAAGGAAAAGTTTCTCAACATTGTCGGACTCTTTGGCTGAGGTCTCCAGATAGAGCATGCTCTGAGCCTCAGCGAAGTCTTCCGCCCTCTGCCGGAGAACCTCTCTCTTCTCTGCCAGATCTATCTTATTACCTGGAAGGAAACACGACAGGTCAGAATGCAGCAGGTCCCCTGTGGTGAACGTGATGGGGGCCTGACAGAAGCGGGGAGGTGCGAGTGTGCGTGCATGTGCGGGACGGACAAAAACAGGGTTAGTGTGTTAGATTTCGGTTCCAGAGCTCTTCACTGAGAGGTCGCATCACATGTATGTTAACAAAACTGGCTTTGAATTTACCAAATCTTTTCAGAAACTTCTCAAACACGCTTCCATTTACGCAGGCTCCGAAAACCAGGCCAGTTCCAGTCAAATAATACCGTGTTCTCTAAATGAACAATGAGCCCGATCCATTGGTTATTAAAGCGCAAAGTAAAGCTTCTTACCGACTAATATAGTCACCACCTGGTTGTTGGCATACTGCTCAATCTCCCTCAGCCACTCTGGAAGGCACCGGAAGGAGTCCTCACAAGTGATGTCATACGTGAGAATGAGGGCGTTGGCACTACGGTAATAACTCTGAGTAATGGAGCGAAATCGCTCCTGTCCAGCTGTGTCCCATATCTGCAGCTGGAAAACATAATACATGGAATGAGCAACTTCTCATAGATTATTGGATGAATATAAAATATATACATGTAAGACTTTGTGTATACCTTGACCTTCTCCCCTTTGATTTCCACGGTTTTAATCATGAAATCTACTCCAATAGTAGCCCCTTGTCCAGGTGGGAAAAGGCCCTGAAACCAAAACGGAAATACACAGTCTGATATTTTCACTCTGTGTAATTCAATAACTCCAAACTCAGAAGTTCAGACAGATACAAACCTGAGTAAAGCGCCGGACAAGGCATGTCTTCCCAACTCCAGCGTTTCCTATCAGAACTATTTTGAACAGGTAGTCATAATCTTCCATGCTCATGTTAAACTGTGAAAAGGAATAAAGGAATGATAAGTAAATGCATTAACATTGGATATGTGCATTTGACCAAAGCCAACACATTTGTCTCATTTGCACATTCTGAAAAGTACTGAAGACAGACAGTGAAGACGTTGAGAAAACAGTTATGAAACTGGTGGCTGGCATGCCGATCACAGCTGACAAATGTCCTAAATAATCTCCATTTAGAATTGTGTGTTAAATATGCCCCAGGTCATATCAACAGAATGTAAATCCAGTCTCAGTTCAATAGAATGTTTATCAATCTAGGATACTCACACAAATAATCAAACAGACCAATATATTCGATTCAATTGTAATTCAAAATCGATTAAGACTCTGACCACTTTGAAAACACTATATAGTTCAATATGAAATAAAATAAAACGTCTCTATTTCACATCTTCACGGTCTTCCTCCCATTGACGTGCACATTGGGGTTTTGCTTAGCGCAGTTTTTGGGGGAGCCGTGCCCCGCTTTGGAGGGGGGGGGGTTATGGAACCACGGAGGCTCGACACACTGTTTGGGCGAATCGTCCGCAATAACAACCTGTAAACATGGTTTAGCGGCGGATCGCTTCTCCCTCGTCAGCGTCAGCGCACCGCACAGAGGCGCGTCTGCCGGGGCGGTACCGGACTATTTGGGAAGGATCAGCGGTTCGTTCGCTCCGACACCAGCAGTGAGCGTCGGGCCTGTATACTCGCGTGAACGACTACATGTTTAAAAAAAAAAAAGATAAAATAATCCAGGAAATATGGATGTTGCTTGCAAGCCTACGTGATGCATTCAATGCCAGTCTGATTACAATAAAGCATATTTTTAGGAATTTATTCAGATGAAACCATTTGCACACAAAAAACCCGTTTGTGTCGCATTTGCTCTTTCTTTATCCCACATTGTTTGGTAAAGGAAAGTAACACTGTAGCATTTTGCACACACGTATTCTCGGCTGACATTGCTCCCTGTAAAAAAAAAATGCGTCGTTTTCAGTCTGGCTTGAGAGCCGTTCGGGCGAAGCTAGCAAGAGTAGCAACAAGCAGCTACCGAGTGACTCTAGCCATTTTGGCACTATTTGCACATACGAGGGAGGGGAAAATAAATCCGAATCGGTCTTGAGAATTGATTCTGTAAATAGTTTTCACTTACCAAAAACACGGGGAGATCCCCGGACTTATGACTACTTGGTATGCATAGGTCACCTCATCAAATAGGCAAAGCCGCTGCTGGGCAGGGCATAATTCCTCTGGCTGTGTTTCCTCAGCAGCAGTCTGTGGAGGAGGAGGGGGGCTGCATTCAATGATGTCATCAGCTCACATGCAAAGTGTCTCAGAAGCATCTACTCGAGTAACGTTACTGCACCTCACTGTTCTTCCAGGGAACTGTCGTATTTCTTGTTGTTGGGCGTTTTTACTCCGCTGCATTTCGAAGAGAAACACTGTTTTGCTCTAAATTATATCATTTTGCCAAGGGACATTTCGCACGGTGCTCAACTCATAACTTAACGAGAATATATAACCTAACGTTATTTTCTTGACCACATATATGTATGCACACGTTAAATACGCACAGGCACGAGGCAACGATTTTATAAAAGGGAGAATCTTCAAATCGAGCACTCAGGTTACCGGTGGTAATATAGTACCGGTAGGGTGGGTTAGCTGAAGCTAATTAACGTAAACAAAACAAGCTAGCGTTAATTGTGGTCTAGTCAGTTGCTTAACTTTATTTTTGTATATTTTAGAATATAATTAAATCATTGTAATGGTCCCCAAAAGTAATGCTCTCATTGTTAAATGTATAGTTAGCCTTCTAGCGTTGGTTGCTAGGAAACAGTAGGCGGAACTGAAGTGGCTGTCAATTGTTGTTGTTCCCGGACGTCGTATTTGGTTGCGCAGCATGTCCTTGACTTCCTACGAGAGGTGAGGGCCGAAAGTAAAACGCTGGGAGGTCACTTGGATAACTGAATTGAAGGAGAATTTCTTACCATGGGCTTCGTTCCGGAACTTGGGAAGTCTCTCCCTCCTCCGTCCATCGCCAACCGGAATTCGGTGTGGCTGGCCGGCGTAGGCTGGTGCTCCGCGATGCTGCACAATGCCATTAACCACAGGCCACCGCTAAAATCAGGTTAGCATGTTGTTAGCTGACTTTCACACTTTATCCTGTCTAGGAGGTCGCAAAGCCCATGCGACATTTAATGTTTATTAAAAATGATTTATAAACTTGAAGTAGAACAAAATGACGACCTGACATGTCACACAAGAGCAGTGACCGGTTATAACGCCTTCATTGTGTTAGCTAGCTATACGCTAAGTTACATTACATGTTATTTAGCTGACGCTTTTATCCAAAGCAACTTACAATAAGTGTATTCAACCATAGGAATACAAACCCAGAAGAGCAAGAAACAAGTGCAATTTCGTGCACAATTAAGTGCTACAATTTGTCAGTCTTCTAGTCAAGGTACAGTCTAAAGAGGTGTGTCTTTAGTTTGCGTTTACGGTTATGCTCTTTTTAATTTCCTCTGCTATCAAATGTCTAACGTTAATATGTTTTATGTTGATCTTATTTCAGAGCTTCCTTTTAATTCCATAAGTTATATAACGTTTACTCATTTTAACTTTATTTCAGTAGCATGCAGCTTGTACCTTGTTTGTTTATGAGTTGCAAGCTCGAGGTTCCCCATTTGCTCAATGAAAGCTTTTAGTTGTGTTTTTAGTGTTTACTTTATTTCAAAGTATTGTCACTTTGTGTGCTTAAAATGCAATCATATCATTGTCCTGTTTGTCATTTTTTAGGGGTCCACCGGCAATTCCTATTGGCAACCATTGGTTGGTTCATCGGCTACCACGTTTCAAAATATGAAAATTACACTTATGCCAAGCTCGATCGAGACATGAACGAGTACGTCAGACTTCACCCAGAGGAATTTCCAGCAAAGGGTAAGTGATTTATCGGCGCTTTTGTCTAGCAGAAGACAAAATGACTCCACTATATGTCTCTGTCTTTAAGTTCCAGCACGTCTCTGGATATTTAGTTATAGTACAAGACGATGAATATTAGCGTCATGATAGTTATCAGGTGGACTTTTATTAATTAAACTGGGGAAACAATTGGCCAGAGGAGATATTTACATGTAACGATAGAAGCACGGTTTGCTCTTTCTATATTGTGTATATATATATATATATATATATATATTACCACCATTAACCGCATTCCTATGCTTACTACAGACTGAGCGTGTTCAGTTTGATGGTATGCAGACACAAGCTGTGCGCTTGGTGCCTCACTTTATGTATATCATGAACAACACATTTGTTAAAACTCATAGAAGTTTTGAACTTGGTGGCTCATATGTGCGTGTAACCAACGGGTTTCTTTCCTTTTTTCTTTTATCTCACCAGAAAAAAAGACCTTTGCAGAGATCGTCGAGCCTTTCCATCCCGTGCGCTAAGTGTAGGTGGCTGCTGAGATGGAGGAGAGTGAGAGAGGACATTTGTAGACTACCTGTTTTGAGCAGTCTTTCTGGGAAATCTGTCATTTGTGTGGAGAAGAGTAGTTATGTAAATAAAATAAATACCTGAATACAACAACAAACATGATGCGTTAGTGTGTTTTTACGATAAATCAAGCCTAGAACACTGTTCTCTTGTCTCATGATCATTTAATCAGTCAACGTTTTTATACATCCCCTAAGCATAGTTTCCAAGGGAGTATTACAGTTGTGAAGAGATAGAATTGATCAGTTTTGACAATGCACGTTCGTTTCATATCCATTAAGTTAGAAGCAGTGGATCACAGACTGTAAACACTTCAGATATTTGACATGTTCAGATGACTTCACTACATATTCAGCACTTTTACAAACACCATACTTTTGTTCCACTGGAAGTTCACAGCTCTTGCACGCTTTCTAATTCACAACTCCGATGATGTCCATATATTTCACAGTGAGTCTCTGAGTCTTCTTGGTGAGGTCACACATCACGGAAAACAGTCCGCTCAGGTGGAAGCGGAAGAGCGATTCAGGATCTGTGTCCAGAAGAGGCTCCAGGGTTTTGTTGAGTGCTGCGTTGCTCTCGGCCTTGTGGTCGTCCAGCAGAACCAGGCTGCACTCTGCCGTGTTTCTTATGGCTTTGAGCATCAGGTAGTTGCTGTACAGGTCTCTGCAGGACTCCTCTGCGGCTTCACAGCCCCACGCCTCATCAGCGGGCACATCTCGCAGCAGGCTCGGCAGGAGAACGGTCTGCTCCATGTCGCTAACGGCTGAGCTGTACCGTCTCAGGGTCAACAGCAGGTTGTTCTTGTTGAACTGGGCCTCGGCAGACTGCATGCTTCCAGTTGGATGTGGTCGGCTGGTCCTCGTGCTGTGATGTCTTACAGTGGGAAGCAGTGTGCAGCGCAAAGCTACAAGAGCACAAGCTGGGGTATTTATAGGGTGAGCACCGGCGGGGTTGATCAGTGCTTTCACGTCATTGCATCACCTGCATTTGAGTTTGCTTTGGGTGCTTTGTGTAGTCAAACTCTTATCTTTGTTTGTTTTACATAACCTGCAATTTCTCCACGGTCATATTACTGTCTGACCCGTGTACCCAAATTCATCCCTGTCAAATTATTAACCGTGCAAATAATACCTTTTTAAATGGCCTCGGTATGAAGCAAACATGGGTTTGTATTCATTAATTTAAGATTAAATTTGTGCTGAGGGAGGATAGATTTCGACAAATCAAAAGGAACCTTACTGTTAAAACAAGGTCAGCAGTGTTTACATTTGCAGGTCATCCTCGCAGCATAATACTGCAAACGCAAAAAGTGCTAGAATATTTGGTTTAAAAAATAAATGTAAGCATTGTCGTGGCGAAGTTTAATATAACCTTAATACTGAAGCCCAGACGGGCCCTTTGCAAACATTTGTTTCCCCCTCAAAACTAAATGCCAATTGGATAATACTGTTCTTTCATGTGTGGGTAGAGCTCTTGGCTTTTCTGCAGAAGTCCAAGAGCAGACCAACGTCCAAAAGGAATATATAAATGCTTATGGAAATACTCCAAACACAACTCCAACAAGTTATAAAATACGATAGGCAAATTAGTCCAGAAAATGCACATGTGCCGTTGTATGCACGCCACAAGTAATTTCATCGCTTTCCGGGCAGGTTTTAGGGGTTGGGGGTTTCAGCCAATCCTACACTCAACCCATGTGGGCTTCTGAGTAGTTAAGGAAGCTGTCGACCATTTCCGAGTGGGTTTGGTCGGATCCAATAGGATCAGACCATTTAAAAAAGTGGTTGAAACAGGCAAATCGGCCCATCACAGCCGGAATTAGGAAAAAAAATCCAGATTTTGACTGCTCCTGTTTCTCTGCCACGAGTCCTTCATAAAAGCCTGTTCTCGAGTAGTAATCCTCTATCAACGTGGAACTTCACATGCTTACTGTTCACACACTGGGCTACCACGTAGATGTGCCTGGTATTTCCATCTTTAACAGGACTTATAGGATTTTATTTCATGTGATTCACAAAATTCAAAGGTTTATGTGTTATATTGATTTATTTCTTCACCAGTAACATACTTGTTCTTGTATTTGTACACATTAAAATACTCACAGGGGTTCCCCCTTTATCCCCACAGAAAAATATCCAGATAGACAAGAGTTAGTGATACAGTTATTACACTTTATATCACGGGTATGCCATTTTTGGAGCAGAGGCCAAAAAACAGCTTGTGCAACAGTTCAACTGAGAATTGAGTTAATAAGAGTGGATTTGGCCATTTGATGGACTTCCTTAGTTACAACCTATATATTTTAATCAATCAGTTCTTTATTAACAGGAGAGGGCTTTCTATCTCTTTGGACCACATGCTGATACATTAATAATTACAACTCAGTGCATGAGTGGCCTGTAATATGTGTGTGTAACCAGAATCCCTCTATCTGTGTCCAGCACTTTCAAAAGAGTATTGATTTTTAAGGCAACATTGTAACCTTAATTATTGTAAAATACAGTAAACATTACATTGGACCTCAAATCTCCCACTTTTTAAACAAGCAGCAGTATAGTTTTCATGCAGGTCTCACACAAGCAATAACACAGAACAAAGGAGAAGCGAGTGTTTCAGAACTTACAGTGTTCCCGTGCTGTAACATGCACCCATATGCTGTAGACGGCAAAAAATCACAAAAGGTGGTTTGTGACTTGACAGTTCTGTAACCCAAGATTTCCATACAATAGTATTTTAATTAAGTCAGTCATTCCCCGTGATTTGCAACGTCTACTGGAACCTGGAAGCAGAAGGGCGCCTCTCCACAGAGGCAAACACATCCCCCGTTTAAAACGATTTCATACTTCACAGAAACGGGAGGGCCGTCGTCCAAGACCTTTGAGAGCACAAGCAGAGGGATGAGCAACAAGTTCTCTGCCTCCCTCAGAGCCATCCTCTCCGCGTGGGACCGCTCAGTCAGTTCGGGCTGCTTCCCGATCAAGCACATCTTTCCATCTTTCTGCTGTTTCTAAAAAAAAAAAAATCTCTAAAAACAACCGAGTTCTCGACCGGGTCCAGCTCGCCGATCACGGATTCAGTTCACGGCGTTCTTCCGTTGACCACTCACAATGATTTCCAGAACGTTGGTAAGATCCATCATCTTGCTGAGCATGTCCATGATGTCGGGATGATCCCGGGCTCCGCTGATGAACTCCTCCAGTGTCAGCTCACCTGAGGACAAAAGATGTGATTGGCTATTTTACTAGAGAGTCAATCAATGCCTCATATTCATGCAATAATTCACTTAGCTGGGCTGGTTATGGGAACTTTACTTCTAACCACAAACACTGATCATAAATTAGTATTAGTATTTTTTACCTTCTCCGTGGACGTCAATCTTCTCATATATAAGAGTTACAATCTCCTCTGGAGGCACGTCGTAATTTCTGGTGATATCTTGAATGGCCTGATGGAAGAGTGTACACAGTTAGTTAAATGGAGTCCTGCAAAGCGCCATCATTTAACCAAAACACGCTTCCTATTCTCAGGAATCAGAAATCAGGGAACATTTATTACCAAAATATGGCAGACATACAAGGAATCTGACTTGGCGCATGACATCAGACAGTAAAGGAATAAAAGTTCAAAAGAAAGTGCACCAGCTAACAGAAAAGTCATACTCTACACAACTGTGTTGTCAGTGTATATACAGTGCGGCATCACATGCTTGTTTGTATGTGTGTAATAATAGAAAAGGTGAAAAGTCTTTGTGTAATCTGTGAGGCGATTTACGCTACGCTTTCGCGACTGATTAGGTCGGAGGCATGGCCGAACTTAGACGTGTAACATAAGAGGCCCGCCAGGATTATGTGTCATGTCTAGTTCAGGGCCCATTTTTACTTCTTCAGATAAGTGCTTCTAAGCTTTGCAATTCAGGAAAATGTGAGCCGCTCGGATGCTTAGATCTGTAACCCACTGATTAGGGAACACTCTGAGAAAATATAGTGTACCTTAAATATGGTCTCCAGTTCCTGCTTGTCAATTTTCCCATTTCCATCTTGATCAAAGAGCTTGAAGTACCACTTCAGTTTCTGGTTAATTTCTCCTTTTAGTAACAAGCTTATTGCTGCAATGTATTCCACAAAGTCTATGTAGCCGTCCTGCAAAAGGGACACATGGAAGATATGGTTGCTACATTCGGCGGAAGGACTTTGAATCCACCTGCTCGCGAATCAACATCAAAATGGATTTCAAAAGAAAGATTGTGTCACTTTGCGTTTTGTGATTCTATGCAAGGGCCATTGGGGTAATGCGACCTCATAACAGTTCATTCAAAAGTTAAACCATTCAATATAATGCAGTTTTTAACTTTGAGTATCACATTGTTCATCAGGATTTCCCCAAACAACTTTTCTTGTCAATAGACGAAAGTGTTACCGGTCTGACTAAACTCTAAAGGTTGTTCCACAATAATCTTTTTCCTAAACAGGGAAGAAGAGATCTGCTGCAGAGGTTTAACTTACCCCATCCATGTCAAAAGTGACAAACACTTGGTCCACGTAGCTGCTGGCCTCCTCTGTCATACCGTTCATTTGCAGCATTGTCTTGAGCTCAAAGAGCGTTATGAGTCCCGAAGGAGACTCCTTCATGAATTTGGTGTACCAGTGATGCATGTCCTCCTCCAAGATATCATCAAGGCTGGAGTAGTTGGCGCCCATTATTCCTCAAGAGGTTTTGGTGTGGACAAGAACCCTGCAGAGAGCCAGAAGTGAGGGCGGAGGCGAGAGAGGACAGTGTTCCTACAGAGCTCACCGGAGAACTGAGGAGTGGCTGGAATCACATGCCACAACCGCCTTAATCCACAGCCGAAAACAGAGATAACCCTTTAATGAGATAACTGCAGACGTCTTCCTAGAACCTGAGGACATTGCATGTTAAATGACTAGAGTGGGCTTAGGTATAAACATCTAAGCAGGTACGGCTCTAATGGGTGTAAAAAAGGGAATATGTCAGAGGTACACTAGGTTCAGTTGAATTGAAGACTACCGCAGATTCCAGAGATCCGGCTCACCCGCCGTTGAAACGTAGATATAAAGTTCATGATTGCGTGTTGATTTTCATTCTACAAACATTTGGGGTTTTCTTTGATAAGCATCGATGTGGCGAGCCGGGAATTTTGTCGTTTTTTTGTTTTGCCGTAAGCTGTTGAAACTTGACATTCTGCCCCAAACTGAGCATTCTGGAAAAGAGACGTTATGTGACAACGTTCAACCAATTTACACGGCCGTGCAAAGCGGCATCGTGCCGGTACTGCAGACGTGCACGAGGGGACCCCGTCATCCCTGCTTGCAGCTCTAACTATGATGTAATTTGCTGCTGTCTGCAGTCTTGAGTTCACCTGTAATTAAATGTTGTACATAAATAAAATGGTTTTACCCACCCTCAGTTTCCTATTTTAAATTGTATACTATATTATAAATGTGCCGGGGTTCATATGTGGTTATTTCTTCCTCAGTGAAAAGTCCCCAAAAAGTGTAAACCTTAAACCTTAATTATGGTGAAGATTGTTTAAGCATAAATATTTGCTTGAGGTACACTAACGACAGTAGCCTTGATATGAAAATCAGCTTTATTTGCATCTATCCGTGACAGACTTTGAGTCAATAGAATATACAGCAGCCCTGCACACATCCAGGATGGATAAATACACGTTTAACTAGAAGTGGTGACCTATAGTGGTTTAGCATGACCAACCTCAGCGGATCACGAGTCAGATAAAGGATAGGCACTGGTGGTGTTTTGAGCGGGAGATCGAAGCTCCCAGGCTTATCGTAGTTAATCTGCCTTTGGACGATGAACAATTCTGAAAATAGGACAGCGGAGACGGGCCACCAGTGACCTCAGGTGGCCCAGGCAGCTAGCGCCCATTAGCCTTTGAGGTACCCACCACCGGGATGCATGCTGCCGCGCTGTGCCCGGGCACTTGATCTTTCACTGCTGCCAAGAGATAAAGAAAAGTGTTTGCTTTAGCAGAACATAAATGGAGACATGCAGAGACCCAAGTAAACCCTGAACACCCGCAAGCAGCTTATGTCAATTCAAGTTGCTTCATCCTTGTTTATTCCCACATCGGCGCTATTTGAAAGTTGCATAGAGCGGGTGGCGTGATGTGCTTGTATGTACAGTAATAAACTGTCGAAATCTCTTGGATGTCAACGATGCGCTGCTGTTTAAACTTGATCTTTTGACCAGCATGTGACTGTCATGCAGAAGACCTGCATGCGTAAATACAGTTCCTCTAAAGGTGGTCAAGCAGACCATATGCTCAGTGTCTCATTCTGAATACAAAACCATTAGTGATTTATATCATACACGGGAAGTTTTTTTTAACTCTAAATTGGCCCTTTTCAGATCAGTTTCTCATTTAAACTCATCTTGTTTTCTGTGTTATATGCGCTGCTGTCAGAACCCCCACAATGTACATTCAAATACCAATGAAATGTCAACGTTATACTTGTTTACACAATGAATACATATATTATTTAGTCAAACGTAAAAAAGATGAAAGGACTCAAGTTCTAATGTAATTAAAAAAATTATACAGCTGTATTTTAAAACATTTCTTAGAAAATGAAAGGCCTTATACATGTTATCTTACATTAGTTAAGTTTTTACCATAAAAATGAAAAGCAACCCTTTCGAGGGGGTTCCATAATAACCCCGTAGCGCATGCGAAGAACGGCTGCGAGTGACCAGATACTTTACCACAAACAATAATGACAGCTGTAATCTTATTAGAAGTCAGATGATCACGTCCAGGAAACAGACTGCGAACTCACACACTGGCACACAGCTCTGTGCTGTACATGTGATACGTCGTGATAACTCGTAACCAGCCTGTTTGACATGCACTCCTTCTTCTTTTTAACCATACAGCGTGTTGAACAGCCTTCACTTCACAAAATGATCACAGCTCTGCTGTGTTTGTTGCTCTGTGGGCAAATATTTTAGGAGTGCTTCACCGGTTTGGTTTGCAGATAATGTCTGGGAAAAGGCACAGATATGTAAAAAGTAAACACTTGTATTTCTATAAAAGCAAGATACACCAGTTGGTTTAGACTCTTACAAACATATGGAGGGAAACTGGTTCAATGTACATCGGCCCTGAGTCTTCTGACTCAAGGTCGTACAGGAACTGTCTGAACACGTTGTACACCATCTCCCTGCTCAGGGTCACGTTTCGCAGCTGATCCTGCTGCTCTTCAGGCATGAGGAACATCAGCTGGTAGTCGGCGATGACAGACCCGTTCCTGTGGGTAAAAAAAAAAAACAAGTACGCAGATTTTTTACAAAACTACGAAAGGATAAATCGTGAAGCAGAGGTGAAAATAAATGTAGCTCATGAACAATGCGTTGCGAGTGTGATGCTGGTTCACCGGAAAGCCTGTATCTCTGCTTGGGAGAAGTATCGTCCCAGAGCAGGAGACGATTTGTAGAGGTCGGCCAGCTGGGTAGGGAAGGAACACAACGATTAAGAGTGCAAACCTTTAGGCTGGTACTAAACTACTTTCCCTTTAAGGGGCTTCGGGTGCCGGCAGCTATGAGCTATGCGTTTGTCATTCTGAGGCTCGTCTCAAACTGTCTCAGTTTAGAAGCTGTGTCTTCCGTGGAAGTGGCATGAGTTACATTTAAGTTCTCCACAGCGGTCATTGGGAGGTGTGTATGAAGTCGGCTATGCAGCTCGCTATGCAGCACTTAACAATAACAAAAACGCTGATTAAAAAAATTTAATTTAAAATTTAAATTAATGAAACCGCTTTACGTTCTTCATATATTTGTGTTGCATTTCCTTAATTGTCACATTTTTATGTACATTACTTGTTAATGTACGATATAATGTAAAGCATATAGATCCTAATTGTGATTAATGTGTTATTTAATGTAAAATAAAATTACCTTACCTTTGATAACCTTTCATTACCATTAAAACACTGATAAATTAGCAAAATGTGAATGTTTGCCACTAGATACCAAGTTATGAACAATTAATTGGTACATTTTTACTAAGCAATTTAGCGCAAAAATCAAATTATTTGAAGAACAGTTCATAATTGGCAATAACCTTGTGTTGAAGCTCAGCAGCGAGTCCTTTGCTTTCGTTGGACGAAAGGGTGACAAGTCCCTCTGTGAAGACCCGATTGGGCAGGCGGAAGCTCCCATTGAAGGACCGAGGAACTTTAAACAACGAACTGTCAAAGTCCCCGTCCGAGTCCTCATAGATCGCTGCTCAAAGAGGAAATCGGTCAAATATTCTTATCTTTGGCTATGAATTGTTTTATTCCTCTGAAAATGTAGCATTGACTATGCACATCTTCTGTAACAAATGCATCATCATCTCACCCTCATCGAGCATTACCTGAGCACACGGCCAGCGAAATCACAAAAACAACAGCGATGAACACGATGATGACCACGATGATCAGCAATAGTTTGAGCCTCTCTCTGCTTATCCTGGATTTGGAGCAAATCTAAAAACACAATGAAAATGCTTCATCAATCGGGGTTCTGCGTTCAAATTGTAAACTACCAAAAGATATTAGGAAGGTAAAGCCACTGAAACATAACATTTATTTTTGATTAAAAGTCTCCAAACCTCTGCAAGAGTGGATGTCCGAGTCCCTTGAGATGGTGGTGTGCAGGGCTCTGGGTCCGGGTTAGCACTGGTAGTCTGACAAAAAGACATATCAGACATATTTTACCTCCCTACTACTACTTACTAGAAATGTGATCAGTCATCTAGGGGACAGTGTGTTTATTCGTTCACATGCAGGAGTGCTGGGAATAAGTGACGTTGTGGCAACCGAAACGAGAAGTGCTTGCTTTGTCTTGGGCACAAAAGAAAAAAACCTGCTGAAGTTAGTATATGGCTTATCCTAATATCATGAACAGATGGTGAATTTGAGTAAAAGGCGCACACGCTTGGATGGAAGCTCACCTGTTCGAGGAACCCGTCTTTCTCTGTAGCATCAGGCATCGTGCAGGCCACACTTTCTCCATTACCCGTCACCTAGGCGCAGGCAATTATTGGGAGATAATACAATGAAGTAATAAACCCCAAAATATATTTTTTGAGCAAAATGATGATGCCATTAAATGGAGCAGCCACTTAGAAGACAGAGCAAATGTGTTCACCATCTCTACCAGTAGGTGGCAGAATACATGTATTTAAACCATAGATTTGATTTGGTATTTAACTGTGTATTTGGTTATTTATCTGGGCTTATATACAGATTATATACATATATTTAATGCCGTTTATTTTTAATGTGATCTTCAGGGCTCTATTGCAACTGTAATTGTATACGTCTAGTAATTACTTGTTGTATTTATTTAATTTAAGAATCAAACATACCTCCATAGAAGCAGGATAATTTGTTGATCACAATGTAATCATGACAATTCAAAATAGATACTGTTTATTTCTATTAAACATTAAGAATAATTTACCTACATCATTATTTGGCACACTTCAACCCTGAATTGAATGGTTAAACCGAAGAAGTCAAAAGGATGAGAAGATGTTGGTCAAATGCCGTGTTCCGAAGAAAACGTTTTATTGCAGTCAGATTTGTTTAGATACCGTACCTCAAAGCCTGGTTTCAGGGAAGCTTCTCGGAGGCCCCGCAGATTTCGAACAATCTTATTTCAAAGAGTAAACCATTGTTTTTTCCTTCTATTAAGTTTTTTGGTCTCAGATCAATATATTCTTCACATATAATCTCACATATTAAATTTAAAGGTAAAGCCTTTGTCTGGTAATTTATCAATATGTAATCACGTGTGCTTCTAGGTTAATTGAAGATACAAGATAAGTTGATTCATTCATGTTGTGTTTAACTTATTGCTGCCTGATACTTGTCAGAGTCAGCATAGGAAACAGGTTGTAACTGCAGAAAAAAGCAACTGTAGTAATAATTGTTAGGGTGGTCCCATTCAATAAAGTCTGACAGGATAAGCAGACAGCCTTAAGTACAGCCAGGAGTTCAATGAATCAAATTAGCTGAAAAGGGACTGAGTGTTCTTTCTCCTGTGGGGCGAGAGAAGCTCCGACCAAGTTGGTGTGAAGCTTTAATACACATTAAAGAGGTGTCAGCTGTCCAATCAGAAGGACACACCTGCTCAAAAAGGAACTCCAGCGGGAAAACAGATGTCGAAGGAATGCAGATTACGGCCACTCACTCAGTATGACCCTAGACAGCGATGTTATGATAGACAGAAGCAAAGGTAACAAATGGATCACCGGGTTCCAGCTGTAAAAACACGATGCCACCGTGGACAAAGGCTTCCTGAGACTAACAGGGTGCATGAGATCAATCTCCCCCAACAACGACTTTGTACACGGCTTTATCTAATGAATGAGAAAGGGAAGCTGCATACAGTGCTTTGCACAGGTATTCATCCTCCTGGACTTTCTCCCCCCATTTGGTAATGTTCCAAACTAGAACACCTTTTCTCCCATTTGATCAACACAAAATGCATTGTACTCCGGAGGTGCAAAATACCTTTTACTGTGACAAATGCGCTTTTAGGGTACAGGATGTCTTGGCAAAAAAGCTGAAGCTCAGTCAGAATGGATGGAGACGGTCTCTGATCAGTAATCTTCAAGTATCTGCATAGATTCTCATTTGGATTGAGGTCGGGGCTTTGACTCGCCCCATTTTAAAACATCAACGTGCTTTGGTTTAAACCATTCCATTGTAGCTGTGGCTGTATGTTTAGGGTCATTGTTCGGGGATTTTCCAGTATTTGGCTCTCAATTCTGACTAGTTTCCCTCTTATTTTGGATAATTCTCTTAATTGGTACTGTAAAATAATTTCATGTCTGGTATGAGAGTAGTCAGAGATGTCCTGGGCACATGTACATCCGTCTTTGTGTGTAATTATTTAGAAAACTGCTTTTATAGGATCTCAAGAGTAATGAGAAATTAGCTTTTCTTTTACTACTTATGTTAGACTTTCTTTTAGAAAATCCTTATAATGGGCCCGGGGGGGGGGGGGGGGGGGTCAGAGATGTCCTGGACACTCACACACACACATTTTATAATATATATATATATATATATATATATTATATATATATATATGAAAATGAAAATGAATGTGCGAGTAGTCAACCACTGTCCAACACGATCCCATTGGCCCGGATCATGCATTTTTATTTCGTTTTGGGATCCTTTCACTATCACTATCACTACTACTACTACTACTACCACTACTGTTGTTATTATTATCGCGGTATTATATCCCATTATAAACATGTTGATGAATTTACCTCGGCCCCATTCGTCTGGATGGTCTTCATTTCGATGGCCATGCTGCTTTGCGTCCGGGTCCCAGGACGAGTCCAAACACGGAAGTGCTTATTAGTTTCAATAGAGAAAGCGCAGCGTCCGCGGGACAGTAAACGTCTCGGGGAGGAAACAGCAGCAGGTCACATCTGTCAAAGAGCAAGTTATTCTTTTTTTTTTCTTCCTTTTCACCGGACAAGACTTGTTCCTGCGCTTTTTAGCTTAGCTTCTGCTCGGTGTTTCCCAGCAGGTGAATTCCTTTCCAGTTTGGGAGCGGCTGACACCGGAAGGCGTCGTCAAGACGAGAAACCAAGTGGGAGGAAACTTTTAAAAGTCAGAGGAAGACACGAAGGACGGGATTATTTGTGTCATTAAAGCATGGCGGGTCAACGGGTCTTCCACCGTATACCTTTCTGTTTTCTTCAATTGTTTTGTTTGGATTAAGGCAGCTACATAAGCATTTGCAAATATCATCCATGCTTGTAAATTCATTTAAGCAGGAAACCTTTTACAGTAACGTTTAAGTGTGCACCTGCAGTCAGGTGTTGCTTCAGAATCAAACTTTAGCAAAAAAAAAAAGTGGATCAACTTCAACGCTTCTGGATCAATGGAATGGAAAATGGATCAATAATTTAAAAGGTCAATTTTGATTCGAGATACATAACAAAGTTCACACATTTGGAGTAAAGTAGCCTTGCAGATTACAGGGACATGGATACATATTACCCCGGTGCTGCAATTCCCAATGACCACCAGTAGAGGTCGTCAAAGGTCATTTACACGTCAAAGGTTTGTTTAGCCCACAAAAATTAACAAATATTATTAGTACATCAAATAAATGTGACTGTATACATAGTGTGATTCCTTTAAAACAATGTTGATGAGTTTAATATTCACGTTCTTTTCACACAATTAGAAACAATTCTTCTGGTTAGACCTCTGTGCGGGTGGAAAATTATGTCTCCAAAAACTAATAAGAGGTGTAATTTCAGACAGACAAAGAGGACTATCCTATTAAATTGCCTGTGTGAGTGTGTCTTTGGTGTGCAAAAGCCTTTAAAGCTGTAAACTGGCACCGCAATCTCTTGTCCTCCTCGGCAACCTGTAGCTGTAATCTACATTTTTGGAACTCATCTAGATGAATTGTGACTAGTTTGAGATGATACTCAGCATTAAATATTTACTGGCCGGCCCACCAGAATCATCGTCCCGAATCTCAATGAATCTTGCAAAACAACAAATCTTTAACAATACACATGCAAAGTCAACTGTTTTCGTAAAGAAGAAGGAAAATGTTTATTGACGTAACATTTCTGTGCATAATTGCTGAGGACTCGAGCCACTGCATTGTGAATTTGATATCTTGCAGTGTACAAAATAAAGCAAAACCAACACACGAGTTAGACACGAGCCAAAGCGACCAGCTAGATAAGCAAAGTACATAGTTTTGAACATAAAGTGATAGAGATGTGAAATGAGCAGACATTTCATCTACCTGCTAAATATATGAAGTTTAATAATATTTTGCATTTTGTCAACGCAGCTCTCCTGAGTCTCCAGTGCTTATAGACCTGTTCTGCAGACGGCCAATAGGGGACGACAGAGGGGACCAAAAGAAGAGCAGGAACCCGCAATCCAAAATGGACTAACTTCTTCTGAGGAGAATTTAAAGTTATCTTAACCAAGGAACAGAATAACGTACTCCGTAAAAATACAGCTATGCGTATGCAAAACTACACATACACACACAAGCACACACAGGTACACAAGCACACACTCATTCCAACTTCACGCCATGCCGTGTCCTCCTTGGAGCTCCTCCAGAGGCATCTCCTGCTCCTCTGTCTCCACATGGCCTTCTATCTGCTGGGCCGGGCCAGGACCCGAAGGCTGCTGTGACTCCTCCAAAGCCTCCGGGTTCGGGGCTCGCGGGGCTTCCTGCTCCATCCTCAGATCTCCCCCGTCCTCTGGCTCACATTCAGAAACCCCATCCTGGGTCGTGTCACAGTCCCTGTCCTTCTCTTCAACTTCTTTCAGACTTGCCGGCTGTTCGTATTCAAAAACCTGGTCCGTGTCCCCGTTTTCTTTTGGTGTGTCCAGTTCACAGGGGGACGAGGCACTCCCATCCACCTCCTCTCCAGCTGACTTCCTGTGCTGCCTCGTGGGCGGGCGCCTTTTAAAGGATAGCCGCGCACGGGTCTGTGTGGAAAAGATCGGTAAGAACTAGCCAGGAATTTATATCACCTTTTAAAACATTTAAAAAAAAATGTAAATGAATCAGGCCCACTTACATTACATTACATGTCATTTAGCTGACGCTTTTATCCAAAGCGACTTGCATTCAACCAAAGGGATACAAACTCAGAAGAGCAAGAAACAAGAAAGTGTAATTTCATCAAATAAGCCAATTCAAAATTCTCAGTGGTTGGTGTGGAATCTTCAACGTACAATATTAACTATCGGGTAGTTATAGTTCAGGTTTTGGTGTCAGTCTTTTCTTTTCATCAACTTTTTGAGAAGAACTTTTTTTTTTAAAAGACTTCTACACAACCATGAGGTACATCTTGTTTGCTACAACCCTGCTGTCTGACTATATATTCTTAATCATAACTGACATCCTGCTTATTTTAAGTTACATTAAGTTTACCATGCAAATGTGGCTTTGTGTTATCATATGCATTGTTTCATCTCTGTACACTTTTGCCACACCGGTTACTTTGATAGCAATGACCCTGGAGCGCTATATGGCCGTTTGCAGGCCCCCGAGGCATGGAGAGCTGTGCTCAACTCGCAGAGCTCTGCACTGCGTCCTCATCATTCACAGCCTATAGATAAGTGCCGTTATAAGTAGAAAGTATGTGATCAATCAAACAGCAGGGAAGTTATACTGTATGTAGTGTAGATTCTTCCGTACAGTCAAATCGTTTCTGTCCCGGTTGTAACATATGCGTGCGACTTAACACAAAGTTACCCAGGGACTAACTAGGCTAAGGGGATTACATCGTCAATCCCCCTTCCAGCGGCGCTCATGCAGTGCAGGGGCATCTCGCCCCGGTTTATCCGAGGCCTGCTTAAACTGAAGGTGCAGAACGCCCCGCCGAGGGACGTGTCAACGGGGACAGGGAACATGTGTCCGGCTGTGACGTCACAGCCCACAGTCAACGGATGGCGTGAGAAACATTTCCGTGAGCTGTGAGATCAGCTCATGTTTTTCACTTAGTCACTCGGAAACGTGAGAAAACACGCAAAGTACGAACGACTAGAAGACGCTTAAGAAGACGGGAGTGAAATTCCCACTTTAAAAGACACGATCCTCTGCCACACGCAGCTTGGCGTCGTTACCTTGTTGATGCTCGGCAGGGCGGCCCCCTCCGGAGGGACGTCGAAGCTGACGGCGTCCTCCTCCTCGCTGGACGGATGCGAGGGCCTCTGGGTGGGGCTGAGGGGGCTCTGCGGGCAGCAGCGTGTGGTCGGGGACAACGGCGCCGGCTGGAGCTTCGCCTCGGGGCTCTTGGTGCGTGAAGGCAGCAGAGCAGTGGGGGACAGGGCGAGATCGGCCTGCAGTGGGAAAGGAAGACGTTGAAGCCCGGCCACTATAATCTCTCTATAAGTGCCTGGTGTTCCCGGTGAAACTGGATTGTCATAGAATGGCTTTCATTAAAAGTATTCAAAAAGCACTTTGGAAAAAGTGCTCTGCTCCCTGCTTTGAAAACACGGCCGGGAATTGCACACGTTGGGGGTCACAAATAACACCTGTCATATTCAGTCAGAGAACTAAAGCACGGTCTTAAGTCTTAAGTTTGGAGCAGAGTATCTTACCTGCACTGGGGAGAAGAGGAAAAGGGAGAAACGGCAGCCCTTTTGTCCCATGGCTGCCCACAGCGCGAATGGCTAACTAATGGAATGACGGAGGCGGGTTTGTGCGAGGCCGGGTGGCCTGTGATCCAATTAACTGATTAATCTGAGCCATTTTTGGCATCACGGACGACTTCTTCCGGTTTGTTTTTTTTGTCAGCACGCTCACAGCTCAGGCACCAGTGCCAACTGAACAGTGGGTGGCAGTGATGCCTCACGTCTCTATGTAACTATCTAGCGCAGCACAGCGTTGGTGAGGCCAGCGTTTGTCTCCTATTTCCCGCCTGAAATATTCAAATGTTGAAGGCTGCATCTACCTGGATTTTCTCGATCATGGCGGAGTTCTTCATCTTGATCTTGAAGGGATTTGGTGAGACGATTGCTTTCTGCCAGCGAACAGAGAAGAATTAGTGAAAAGACAAATGTGCCTCCCTGTTTAAACCATGGAAAGCTGATAATTATTGTACTTCAACGTTGTCTACAATGTGTGTTGTCATTGTAATATACGAGGGACATACAAGCACGTACCAATATGGAAAATGGGTTAGTATAGTAAAAAAAAATGCAATTTTATTCATGCCTGTGATGCATTTTGTACCATTATGTCAACTGTGCAAGGATATTATGTGTGATTTGTCCGGTAATGTTTGTTTTGACGTTTCACTGAAAGAACTAAAACAGCAGCACTTACCCAGTGTTTGGGTAGAAGCAGAAAATAGACAAATCCAATTGGGCGTACTGATTGTTTACTGTGGTTTACTGGGTACTGGTTACGAAAATATATAAACAAATCCAAGCCGGTTTTCTGGAGACTTTCTGTGTATATTAAATGGGTCAGCGGAGTAAGAAAATGACTTACATCTGAGTCACTTTCATCTTTTTGGTTCTGTAACTTTAGGGAACATGGAGGTCTTCTTCGCAATCGCAACTTCAAACAAAAAGGAAAATGAATTGTAAATAAAATCTGTAGTCACAAGCGGTCCATTGGATTCACCAACTACTCAATTGAAATTGTAAGGCAGCTAAACAGATTTTTGTATATTTCTGCATGCCTGTTGCAACATGTAAGACATTAGGAGAGTACCTCGTCATTTGGGGTAGGCATTGGTAGACTGTGACCTTTGAACCTTCCAGCCAGCTCAGCCACAGATCGTTTGGATGGAGAATCCTATTAGAAAAGAAAGACATTTAATAAAACCTTTTATTTTGACATTTTGTTGTATTTTAAAAAGAGGTACTTCCTCCCATGATTGTCCTGGCTGGATTCAGAAGCAGATGACACATTGAGCCACATTTCATAGCCCACAATATAACTCTGGTAAGAAATGCAAATATTAACACCAGCACTTTTGGGTGTCTGCATAGTAAAGTCGGTTTCAGTGTGCAGCACCTGCTCTCGTGCAGAGAGAAATGTCGCGGCTGAACGAGGACATTTTCGAAGAGAAAGAACAACTCTCACTTCCCTCTTCTGTGACGGAGACCACGCAGACTGATTGTGAAAGAACCGCAGAGGGTGAACTTGTCAGCTCCATCAGTGTTGAGTTCAACCCTGTGTGGGAGGAGCTTGTCTCTTCTCTGGCTAAAAAGTCTATTTTGTGTTTTTGTACACAGGAAGTGAGCCTCTCTCTCTCTCTCTCTCTCTCTCTCTCTCTCTCTCTCTACAGCTGTTCAACATCAGGCTGTGACAGCAGGGACCGGTCCTTGAAGCCTCACACTCTTATCACCGCTCGGCCCCTCTATTCCCGAGCCGATTGCTCAACTTCCCTCCCCCGCACTGCCCTCTCTTGACCATTGACTCACTCCACATATCTGTGGCCACAACGACAAGTCGGCCTACAGCTGCCGGCTGTAACGTTAGGACTTTAGTATTTGGTCTCTGACTAGGGGCCAGACTTAAAAAAAATAAAATAAAATATTCAGGACCCTGAGATGTGTCAGCACCCTGAGATGTGTCAGGAGTGTGCAGATTGTCATGCTGACATGTCACAATTAGTGTCGTCCAGTCACAGCTTGCGGTCGCCCTCACTTTCCCTTTCGGGCTTAGGTGCCACCTATTTTAATAGGATAGAGATGTGTAAAAAAGCTGATGCCTCTCCTCACAGCTGCCTGTCCGGTGGTCACATTTCGTGGGCGTGTGCGCCCTCGGCTCCCTCGGCTCCCTCCCACCACACTTTGAGCTCCACAGAAACACACATTCCACATGTTAATCACAAGCTTTGTTTTCCTTCTCCCCCTTGTTCTCTGCATTACCTCACCACCTTGCTCCCTCCACCCAAACGTATTACAGCACCAGCCGGCCCCGCGGTGCCTCTGTTGACTCTACGCCGTGTCCTGATCCACATCCCAACCCTTTTCCTGAGTTCTCTCATCCGCGATAAATGGAAATCACCAGGGACCACCCACCCGCCGCACACACATTAGTTTGTAACCACATTAGTTGTTTAACTCTTTACTGTCCTTCAAAAAGAATTGCTCCATACGGAGCAAACTCCGGTCACGACAGTGCATGCAAAGGCCTTTGTTTGTTTAAAACGCTGCTCAGGTGTTTTGGGCAAAGAACAAAAGAAGAGAAGAAAATCTTGGTTTGGGATTTTGTGAAAGTTTATTTTAAAAACACACAGGAGAACTTGTTACCAGCCCCCTCAGGAATAGTCCGGACATATGATCTAATAGAATATGAAAAGTACTCTTAATGGGAAAAAGGATTTTTTCTGTTCTGTATACTTTTTAATATTTTAGAACTGGCCCATTACTTTATTAAAATGGGAGAGCTGTACATTGAAAAAGGCTTTGGCGGCTTTAACTATAATAAATTAGCGGTTACTCCTGAACTACAGATTTTTATGTAATATGATTAAAAGCACAGCAGCCTCTAAAAAATATACATTGGACATTTTCTTCTCCCAGTTAGACGCTAACTGTTTCCCTGAGATGACAAAAGAGCTACATTATTCCAATGCACCATACAAGGCCTTCGGCTAGTTATCAGTGTTGCACATGTTTAACTCAGCTGGGACCCCATGTTTTGTAGAGGAGTGGGAAACTCTGGTTCATTGCAGGAGAGTGCAGGTCAAGCTCTATTTCTGGGTCTGGAGGCCTGGGAAAAAGCCCCAGAGCTGTGCAGGCAGCCCGGATCACAGCGCCGCTCTGTAACCCCTCAGCTCCTAAGAGAGAGCGTCCCTGATATGCTGGACCACATCTGCATCTGCATTCTGTAATCCAGCATACAGAAAAATGTAACATGTCTAAACAAGTAATTACGAGTGGGAAAAAAAAAAAAAGGTTCCATACCCATGTGATTAAAGCTTTCCAAAAACGGGCCCGTCGACACTGAAATGCAACAAGCTATTTCTGACCAACTACTTCCATGGAAACAGATGCTTTAAGCCGATTCTTTTTACAGATACACATACAGCAAAGACGTAGTGGACTCATCTAATAAACATTTCTTTTCCGTTTATTTAATAGAGACACTTGCTGTCTCGATATAATTAGCAACACTGCCAATATTATACAATGAGAAATAAATGGATAGATGCCTTGCAGGGTGTTTTTTTGCCATCTATAAAAGTACCACCAAACTACTGAATAGTAGCCATTTGTGCTAAAAACAGTTCATTTCCCAACTGACTGATAACGCATGAAAAGAAAACTGCTTGTGTATCTTCAGAGAGCAAAGGTCAATGCCAACTAACGTCTTCATTTCCAGGCCACGGATGGAGACACGAGGTTCAGTGTATGACCGGCAGATGAGCGAGAACACAGACACAAACAGACAGCACAATACACGCTATTGTCTGCGCTTGTTATTCCTATTTCTAGAGGCAGGGGGGGAAAAGCACATGATAGCAGTCTCTAACAACGTAATCCACGCAGAGCTGATGGAGAACACGTCTGGCTCGGGATCTTTAACCCTTCTCCAGGTACATTAAATCCTCATAAACTCTATGAAAGTCAAGACAAACAAAGCACACCGAAGCGCAGCTTGCTGAGCCAGACTTATTTCTACAAGATGCTCCAGCGGAGTGTGTGATTGTGAGTCCGCAGAATTTTGTTTCGTCAAGTCAGCCCGTTCTGCCGAGAGTAAAAACCACCGTAGTGAGCAGCTCCTTTTCAGCCTGCACTTGTTAGGTGGTAAGAAAGGCAACTTCCTGCTTGTAACCTTCCATGGAAACACGATGTGTCTTTTGGACCGGAGTATTTCACTTTCACACTGCGCTTTCATGCTTTCCTGTTTGTGTATTTTTTGTGTGTAAAAGTACTCAAAAAGCGCTTGAATCAGAGAGACGAGGCCAATGGAGACGCTCATCTACTAGACATCGCTGTCGCTGCCTCAAAGGAAATGGGTGGTGCTGTAGACACAGACTAGTACAGCAGGGCGGGGAAACAAATATGTCATATGATAATAACAACATAGCAACCAGAGAGAGGGAAAACAAATCCAGATGACCTGGGAACAGAAAGTCTGCTGAAAATGATTTAAAAGATGGAAATATGTATTTTTCTCAAGTGTGACAAATGCAACAACACATGAGTCAAGACCCCAAGAGGCTTTTAGAGATCTGCTGTTTAACTGGCAAATTATGAAGCTATGATAACAAATGAGCTGAGCCTGGCTTGCTCATGAAATGCACGGTGATATTTGTGATAACTATAGTAGTCTGCCTAAGATAGTCTGAAGTATTGGTTATGGAGCGTGAATGGGGTGTAAGGAAACATAACAAATGCAAACAGCTCTTAGCCGATGGGACGTCCTCCACATGTTGGAGGCAAAGCATTGAAACTGAGATACAAGCGTCTGTGTTCTGGTATTCTCATCCTCTCTTATCCAACAATCACCAAGACAAAAAAACATCTTGACAATCGATTAAACAGAGTTTGGGCATCTATTGAATCCACGGCAGGCTCGGGAGCCACTTTAGGATACAATATTGTACGTGAAAAATCTCTAAAAGGGACCGTTCTCCATGTAGTTTGGTACCTGCAGAGGTTTTGCTGATGAAATGTCTGTCTTTCTACTGTAGTACACTTGTTTACCCCTCCATGCTCCCCCATGCTGAAAACGCAAAGCTCGACATACTAAAACTTCCTGTCAATCGACTCCTCTAGAACGCTGTGTCTGATTGCTACCAACATTTTTCATTAGCGAATCAATGTCAAACCAAGTGTGTTGATGCATCTCATTGCGATTAGAAGACATTGCGCCAATGAGGCTCATAAAGCTTTGTAAATCAATACACAATTTCCAAAACATTACACACAACCCAGACCACCGCGTGCAGAACACTGTGGCAGCTCAGTAGAGCTCCTTCAGCCAACGGCTGCTTCACCCCGGTGTGTGTAGGAGAGGCACCAGGGCTCCTTCCTTCCTGCTGCGGTCGGGCTGCACAACAGCTCTGCTCACAGTAGACCACAAAATACAAAACACTTGCAAACTGGGAAATAATAGTTGTATCGTTGTTATCGTCTGTAGGCCTCTATATGATATTTCACCTTTTGGAAATATAATTACCGAGAAAAAAAACAATGGATTTTACAATAACAAACTTATCAAAATGGAGAGTTTTCATTGTGCGATCTTGACGTTGCATTGCGGCCATTTTGTACGGCTTGTAATGAAAGAAGAAGTTGTGGTAAATGATCCAATCTTACCCAAATGTATTATGCAAAATCTTAGTTCAGCCCTGACCACATTTTCATGGCAACATTTCACCGTTCACATTCAAAGAGAAGCAGATCTTTCTATGGCTTAGCATGATAAAAAACCTTTGGAACTTTACACCTGTAAAAAAAAAGCAAGGTTCCAGCCCAAGTGGTTTAGTTTCATCACATGTAAACCGCACGCAGTCGCTTGCAACCATGAAGTCACACACAAATCAAACAGAAGTCACAGGAATGATTAAAAAAAATAACGTTAGCAGAAGGTTTAGAAAATATTGTCAGCGGATTTTTAATTTTATACAGTTTCATAACCAGTTAAAACTTGAACGAAAGGATGCGGTTAGTTTGGCTTTCTTATGCAAAGGCCACAGGACACAGTCCAAGCTACTCTGCCGGCACTGTGCACTCGTCTCTCAAGTCTCTATTCGGATATCCAGCTGTCAGGTTTCTGCCAGCAGTTAAAGTTCATGCTTAAACTTGCATCTTCCGTCTAAATCTAAAACCCAGAATGCAAAACCGGGGTTTAAAAAAATAAAATAAAATGGCGCTCGCAAAGCACGAGCAGCTTGCAACACTTATTGCATTTACTAACCTTTCTCCCCAAAAAGGAAGTAAAGACCACGTAAAGACGCCAAATTTAGAAGAGGGTGGTTGAGGAAGGTGCAGGCAGAATGGGTTAACCGGTCTGCAGGGAGATGGAAGTACGTTATAAAAGTTATGATGATGTTGTTTTTTCTGGATTTTTCACTTCCTCTCAAATCACATGTCCACAAATCTCCTATTTGTGCACTTGATGTCGACTAAATCCAAGATGTTTGAGAATAGGCAGATGTCTGACACGGGTTAAAGCAATGACTGGGGCGGCCTCTCTGTCTGCGGTGTCCGCCCAGGCCAGAAGTTCCCTAAGTGTTTTTCAGATCACTGTGTGCTTGCTATCTTGCCTGCATTTTCCACCCGGGATATCTCTCTGCCTCACAGGACGGAGGAGCCGGGTCTGACACCACCTCCTCTCCGGTGGCACGACTCACACTGATGTGCCAGACAATAAAAACAAAACGCTCTGTAATAAAAAAAGGAGTTATGGAATTCTGAGGCTTTATGAAGCATTTGATTGGTCGTAAAGGTGTATATATCATCCAATGAGCTCCCACAGGAGAAGTGGGCACATATGATAAAACAACCAATAGATATTTCATAATGGCATTTGAGATTTTCTTCAGGCGATCACACATTTAATGGGAACCATTTAAATGCTTCGGGCAGCAATCCCCAAAGGCTTCTTTTTTTATTTAAGCAAACACATTTTCTGTTTGTAAGAGTCTGTTTCAGCCTGTGCTCTATCATCCCCTTCAGAGTATACAAAGCAGTCAACAGAAATGTGAAAAAAGGGAATCTAAGTTTTTCATTCACGGCCTAAAGGTTTGTTGTACTCTAAAATCACGACTGATTAAGCGCTGAATGGCTTTAATAACAGGGCTGAATTGTATCATTTAGTCAATCAGATTACAGCTATACATTATACACCCTTTGAACACAGATTCAGCCATAACCACACCTTGAAATAGAGAACGGGGTAAAGTTTCATAGCCGTTCTTTGATGCGGATGGTTTATATTCTGCTGAGCTTTAAGGTCAGTTATGCGTCTGTTTCAGGCCCGAAACACACACAGCTTAATGTACACCGCAGGCTGCATCTTCCCCAATAATAGACTCTGAACATAATCCCATGCTTTCACCCTCCGTCTTAATCCCACAACACCTTAAAATGACACTTTATTTACTGTGACATTGGACGATTGGTCCTTTAGAACAGCAGCAATAGTGGGACACTAAGGAAGTAAATTAAATACTGTTGGAGAGCAGAATAGGAGAAATACGGACTCAATAGCGAACGTCTGGCTGGTACAGACCGAGTTCCTCTGTTATTGGTCTGTTAACTTTACTATGGAGAACATAATAAATGTGCACACCATATGGTTGGCAAGGCAATCCCAAATACCCACTGCTTGTGTTGTTTTTCCATCAAACTAAAATCTCCGCCCCCCTGCCCAAGCCCACGAGACGACGCACACATGCCGTAACTCCTCAGGTGCAGGCACAAACACACACAAATGCACAAAATGTCCAGTGTGTCCACTTCGTTCCGACACAGGAAACAAAAAAAATGAATAATTTCCAATGCGTCATTTTCCTAAAGGGTTTCAATGAGGCAGTTAGAGCTAGAAACACACATCAGAATTTAGACAAAGAGGTGATGTCATGAAGGGCAGAGCTCACGCAGTTTAAATGACGGTGAGTGTGAGCTTTATTTCCAAGGAACATATGAGCACGAGCCCTTTTTTAGTAAAAACCAGACTTTGGTGGTGTTTTTGTGCAAAGTTTAGAGATGTGAGAGTGTAAATCGATTAGTCGTGGACAGCCTATCAACAGCTTCTATTTGGGGAAACTGATTCAGTTTCAGGAGGAGCTGGGCAATATTTAAAAAATCAAATATCATTGACAGTTTGCACCAAATACCTCGATATTGATTTTGTGATCTCATAGTAGAGTTGACCATTGGGGACTCACAAAAGACCTGCACAATGACATTTTGATAAATAATCATTACTGAAGTGGGTGAAGGCAAATAAGAGAAGTACATCCCTTTGTAAAAAGGACATCTGTGATATTGCGACAACCAAAACCCAAATCAATATCCACTTTCATATCAATGTGATATAGACGCATTACGCAGCCCTCGGATTGCTCAGCGCGCTGAAATTCTCGGCAATGGAAGTGAACGTTTTTAGCTGCAACACACCCGTTGCACAACCAGCTGGCGGATTTCCCTTTACTCATGAATGTCGCAAAACTCGACAGGCATTGCTTGGTTGTGATTAGTGAGTGCGCGCCAAAGTGACTCTGAAGGAAACCACTGACAGAGGACTCGTGAACCACTCCTCCCCGCCCCCCCCCCCACTGTTTTTATCTCAAGTCAAAATGAGAGTGGCTGCCATGGAAGTGTCACGTTGTCCCCGCACCAACAACAGAAATATGCTCCCGAATGCATTCAAGGGGAGAGATCCACTAGAAAATCCCCGTGCAACATTAACGTTTCAAACCAGGCCTTGGTTAGTTAGTAGGTCACGAGGTCAGATAGTTAACAAGCGGCAAGTAAACATTCCGTTGCCACGCTGCTCACTGTCATCAACCTGTAAACAGCCTCCCATTAAAGCTCTGTTTGTAGGAGCTTCTTCTACAAAAAGCTGGAATCACAGATATTAGTGGAACCTGCCTTCTTCATCTCTGTGTTAACTTAACCCCCCCCCCCCACACACACACACACACACACACACACACTTATTTCAATGTTTTTGGCAAAAGGGAAAGAAGAATATGTTAACTGGCCTGAAGCATATCTGAGTCCTAACGTTGGGTGGTGTTGGTTTGTGAAAGCAGTTCTGTTGTAGATTACTAATGTGCTCCGTCACGTGCTGGGTGGGGGTAAGGGGGGGAGGAGGGGGGCGTTTCTCTTCCTATTTGCCACATGACATTAAATACTTGAGCAAGATGTAGAAAGTCAGAGGGAACAGCTTGTTTTGAAGGGAGGAGACCGCAAAACCCTGCATGAGCAAAGCACGTGGACAGGCCAATAGTTTCATGAGGACACAAGAACATCTTTTTTAAGGGGGGGGAAGCATGGCTCCTCAGCTGGGGGTTCAACGGGTGGGAAAGTGTGATGTTCAGATTCAAACGCAGACTTACAGAGAAGGCTAAATGAACTTCACACAGCCGTCACAGGGAACATGACAGATGTTCTGTTCAGTGCTCCAGTTCCTTTAGTCACTCGGCATGAGGTCATTACCACAAATCTACCGTTAGACCCCATCAGCCGGATGCTCAAACGTACGCGTTTCCGTTGAGTTGTGTTGAACACAAGAACGTCAAACAGTACGAGTTTCTCGTGTACAAGGAATTACAGTGATATGTTCGCATAACACATAAAATGTTGCCCATAATTACAACACAGTATCACATATAAGGCCAGAGTTAGTTATAAATACAAAATATTAATAGGAACTTCTATAGTGAAAAGTAGCCAACACAACACGTGCGTAGTAGTTTGTAGGAGTACGATTTTGACACAGGTGTTTATTTGTTAAATGGTCGCACAGACAGGTACTTAGTACCTTTACAAATATCACAGTCAATACACTATCAAATATACAATAGTCACTCACTGAGCTCCAGTGCTGTACTATTTTACGTCCGAACCAGAAAAACGGCAGAAAAAAAAAAAACTTGATATTTAAAACATGTGCTCGCGTGGCCTGAAGGTTCAGACTAGCAGAGAAAAGTACGCGCAGAGTAAACGAGTTGTTACCTCCATCCTGGGGGAGATGCCAGACACCGTCCCCTCGCGCTGCTGCTGCTGCTGTTGCTGCGTGTTTTCGGCCCGTTGGAGCGAGCTGCTGTCTGCTGGCTGAGAGAGCGATGAGGAGCGCAGCGCGGACACAGAGCCGCTCTGTGTTTATAACCGAGGAGGAGGAGGAGGAGGAGGAGGAGTGGAACTACTTTACGCGCACTCGGCTCCGGCGGCGCTGTCAAATCGGTTTGGGGGAAGGAAAGAAAGAAAGAAAGAAAGAAAAAATACTACTTCTGCCGCAAACCATCAAAATAAAATACATTTGAAAAAAAAAACTGAAACTGTTGCACTAAACGATCAGTCCAATTCTACGGATTGTTTATTGGAGGTTAGACTAATAATAGTTGCATACAGTTGTTGCAGCCGATAAGCAACCACGTGACTAACTACAAACTGTGTACACGAGCAGCTGGTACTATTTCCCCATGCACCATTAGTGCGACGCTTAAAAGGTCTTAATGTATCCTTACTCCTTACTCCTGGCCCTATGAGCTCTAACCTGATTTCAATGAGACAAAACATTCAAGCATTAATGTTTTTACTCCTGGCCACAATCCGATTAATTAAGTCACTCATGTTTGTATAGCTGATGGAAAATACCTAACATCATTGATTGAAATGGGGCCAGATGTGCAAGCATTGCAGTGTGACAATCCTTTTAAACTGTAAATGTAATTTCACCTGGGGAAGTTCATATAGACGATACATATTGTATTAAACTGAAAAGAGCCATTTGTCCATCTCTCTTTGCCCTGATTAGTGCTGTGTATGCGATCAACATATTCATGTATCCAGTGATACTTGTCACTGTATGCGCTGCGTCCAAATGGAAATGTGTAACAACACAATCTCTGACCTGCAAGTGGAGAATAAGTGTGGTGACTCACTGTATAATTGAATATCTAGCTAATAATATCGATTGAAGCCTCCTTAGGCTGAGGTCATTGTGTGTCTTCATACTGATACTAGTTATCTAGTTTTATTCAAAGGTATTAACCAAGAACAAGTATATGCGTTGGGACTAATTTTATTTATGTCAAGATTATATGGTACAGAAGCGACAGCCCACCACCATTTACGGTGAGTACTTTCAAAATAGCTTTGGAACAATGTTCAAAAAGCATCAATAAAAGTACGAATCAGTCTTTTTCTGGTGAATATTTTGAAGTTAAAGAGTAGCCTGGGGGAATAGCAATACAATGTATACAATAAAGGGTTTATAAATACAATTTAAGAATGTGATACAATTATAAATCATATTTCATCACTGTTTGAAACCACAATATACAGTGAGTCACCACAATTATTCTCTACTTGCAGGTCAAAGATTGTGTTGTTACACATTACCATTTGGACGCAGCGCATACAGTGACAAGTATCATTGGGTACATGAATATATTGATCAAACACAGCACACGACACAAACAGCCTCTGCCCACGGGGGCGGGGGGGGGTTGTATTTCTGTCCATTGTAAAAAAAAAAAAAACAGGAGGTACAAACATGCATTTGTTAATTAAACTGAGCAAATTTTATATTTATTGCTAATACATCATTTTGTTTTTCCGCTCTGATGTGAAATAAATAAGAGCGGAAAATGTAAAATGAGATCCGGCCTTTCACAATAAGACTTCCTGCATACACCTCTGAATAGTGCAATAAAAGCTCTTTCTTCGTCGCCCCAGCATCGCACGACCAAGTCTTACTACTTTCTCTCATCAAAGTAACTTTTTGCAGTACTTAGACATGTAAATTACGTTTAGTTATATTATATAGTTTATCACTATATAATCATTTTTACTTGTATGGTGACTAACCATTTAACTTCATGCCCCCTCAACGGTAAAACATATTAATTAATACATGAGTTTAGTATTTAGTAATAGAACATAATAAATAAAAAAGGACAACTAGATGTGTTAATGATTGTCTTGAACATCAACCCCGAGAACAAACCTTCTGATTCATTGGCTGATTTTAGTCACTAAAGATGGTTGAGATCAAGTTACCATTAACATTGGAGTGAGTAAATTATCCTATTAGAATATTTAGAATTTGTCATTTTGGGAGCAGTTAACACACATTTGTCTGATCCGTTTTTTATCATATTTATTTATTCATCTAAACTGTAGGAATGTTGAAGGGCTGCAGCTCCCATCCTGCAGCGTGGCGGTTTCTGATTGACAGCGTGGGAGAGAAGATGTTGTCTGTGGTCCAGCAGCAAAGAGAACGAACAGACATTCGTAACTCTGGAGTTGCACTTGACTGCGCTCACACGTCCCGGTGAACTTGGGGTTTGAATTTGCTTTATTTGTATAGAATTGAGCTTGTTTGTGCTTTGAGTTGCCTGACTTCCTTTTTTAGAAGCATTCATGTTTTAATCAAAATGTTCCATATCGGAAACATGTTCATTGACTAAATATTCTCTTCTTCTTCCGCCTGATGTCTGATTACAGGAGGAAGTGAGTCAACAATTGAAATCAGGCTTAAAATGTCGACTGAAACCTTTGTGTGTCATTAAATACACAAACGCTCATTAACTCAAGATCATTGTTGTTTCACTTCATTCAAGTCAACGAATAATAAAGAACATGTGATTCTCTTTGGTCTGAAGAAAAAGAGACGGATTCATTTGGTTTTATTTTTATTAAAATTTATTTTCATTGTTAAAATAATAAACAGACGACATGATTAAAAATAATAATAACACAATCATTGGGAAAACACCTGAAGCAGTTCCTGAGAAGAGAGAAAAGAAGAAAGGTTATTAACATGTTAATGTTGTTAGTGTGTCTGTGTGTACATCTAATTGTTAGTGTGTCTATGTGTACATCTTAAATGTGTAGGGGTTGACGTGGCGTCCTGATGGCATCCCTGATGGCGTCCCGTTGACGTGGCGTCCTGATGGCGTCCCGTTGACGTGGCGTCCCGATGACGTGGCGTCCTGATGGCATCCTGATGGCCTTCCCGTTGGTCTGCAGACAAGGAGAAGAGACGTGAGGAGGATCATCAGGATGTGTCTGTGTGTACATCTAAATGGTTAGTGTGTCTGTGTGTAGATCTAAATATTAATATGTCTTCCTGTACATCAAAATATTAGTTTATGTCTTTGTTTAGAACCAAATGTTAGTGTGTCTGTGTGTATATGTAATTGTTAGTGTGTCTGTGTGTAGATCTAATTGTTAGTGTGTCTGTGTGTACATCTAAATGTTATTGTGTCTTTGTGTACATCTACATATTAGTGTGTGTCTTTGTTTAGAACCAAATGATAGTGTGTCTGTGTGTACATGTAATTGTTAGTGTGTCTGTGTGTAGATCTAATTGTTAGGTGTGTCTGTGTGTACATCTAATGGTTATTGTGTCTTTGTGTACATCTAAATATTAGTGTGTGTCTTTGTTTAGAACCAAATGTTAGTGTGTCTGTGTGTACATTTATGTGTGTGTGTGTGTGTGTGTGGGTGTGTGTGTGTGTGTGTGTGTCATGAGTAGATCTGGATTTGCTCCTGAGGGGTTGACGTGACGTCCTGATCAGTTGCCCTGGTCGTGGCGTCCCGATGGCGTGGCGTCCTGATGGCGTCCCGTTGGTCTGCAGACAAGGAGAAGAGACGTGAGGAAGATCATCAGGATGTGATACAAGATTCATGTGTACATCTACATGACAACAGCAGGAATCAGATGTTTATATCAAGGTATTAGCTCTAAATCACAGCCTTCTCCACCCGATAGACCAATACATCATTCACAGCAGTAAGGCTGCAGTCTGTCTGGATTCCTCACTTACCTTGAGCTCTGTTGAGTGCAGCAGAACGCGTCTTCGTCCCCTCTACAGACTCCTGAGGCATTACATGGTTGCTTTCTGCAAGTGTAGGTCCGGAAAACAGTGTGTAGATGCGAGGTTTGAAACTGACTGACTGGATGTGCAACAGACTGTGTTCTTATGCTGTGGTGAACGGAGCATAGAACATGGAACATGGAGAAATGTTCCATCATGATGTAACGTCTCTATGGTTACAGTGAAGGTATCCACATTATGCAAATGAGCCATTAGAGAAAATGTGTGTGTGTGGACGGTGTATTTGTATTGATGAAGCTCATCCACTTAACATGGTGCATAAAACACTTTGCTCTACTTGTTTTTTTCTATGACCCCATCTTGATCTTAAAGGCAAACACTTTAAGAATAAATAAAGAACAATTTTTGTCCATTGTTTCATCAAGTCGGAAATTTGTAAACTGTTGAATGCGGATTTCTAAACATCCCTTTCGAGCCCTCTTGTCTCCAGTCTCCATGCTAAGCTAACCAGCGGCTGGCTGTAGCTTCACGTTGAGCGTGCAGACTCATGTCTGGTACGGATGAGTATCGTTTGGGTTTTTCCGATACCGATCCTAAACAGAGCCTGAACCCAAACACAATTGAAGAAAAGTTTTTTTTCACTTCAAACTATGCACAATATATGAACTTTTGAAAGTTTACAGTATGATTACAGTGTTTCCCCTCTGTAACAGCGGAAGTGTAGTTAATTGGAATTTGGGGAATATTAATCATTTAATTTGAGATTCATGTTCATTGTGCAGGAACTAAAGACATTTATTGAAAAGCATTTACGTTAGATTGACGCTCCTCGTTTGTCTCAAAGTATTGACGTGCAACACAGAAGAGCTGCATGAGGCACGAGAGCACATCGCTTTTCTATTGTGTAGAAAAATAAATACGAATAGAAGGTAGATGGCTAGCTAGCTGCTGTAGCTACACAAGCGGTGAGCTATCGTTAGCTGCTGCGAGGACAGTTATCAGACTGTTTAATTAGGGTGACCAAACGTCCTCTTTTCCCCGGACATGTCCTCTTTTTGAGACCTAAAAAATCCTTCTCTGGGTCTTTCACAAACTAGTTATTACGCCCTTACAAGTTTTGGAAATGGTGTCTCCCTTACGTTCCACCTTCTTTCGCGAGCTCTGACTGTAGAGAGAACAGTCATTGGTCGACCGATCTCAATGTTGCCAGATACACGATAATTATCCTCCAAATACGACCATTTTGAGCCTTTGGTACGATACTTCACCATTTCCAATCTGGCAACACTGAGCACTTTGCCGCCTCCACTAGTT